GGTGCCACTATCTTGAGTGGCGAATTGGGTGCTTGCTAGCTTGATGGTCCAATGGATTCCTTTCTGGGCAAGTGGCCTGGTGTCACGTGACCAACGCCTGACAACTTCCAAATAGAGCAAGTGGCCAGTGTCACGTGACTGGGTGGCTGAATCATGGGCGCTTGGTGGTCATGTGGTAGACACAGTCATGTCCGTGATGTATGTGGCAGCATTGTGCTGTTTGTCCAAGTATCCACATTGCGAGACCAATATGAAGGTTGGCGTCTGAATAACCACTCAAATGAGGATTTTAATGGTGCAAAAAGAAAGGTGCCACTTAATACTGTGACACAATGGTGATCGGTTTGTGTTGAGTTTCTCAGCCAGCCCGCAGCGCGGCCAGGAGTTCGGGAGTCGCCCGCTCTCTAGAAGATGGCTCCATGGGGCCAAACCGATGGCCCATCCCATTGTAGCCATGCCCTATTATATACACGCGCACTACTACTCTCCCACGCTGGTGGCGCAGGTCGCACCGGGGCCTCTCACATCTGTGCTCCATGCCCAGATTCCAACATGATACACCACCTTCGCATTCGCGGTTACGTTTCAAGATTACATAGTCATCTAGTTTAGATTGATAGCTGCAGCATCAAATTCTGGATGGACATACGAATGCCCTGGCTTCATCATGCAAATCAATTGTCAGTAATTTTTGAACATATGTGCTCCGTCGACTTATATCTCTCCCGCCTCCCTTCTCCCGTCCGTACCCTTCTCAAACTTCCACTGTCATCTTCCGACCTCTACCTCATTCCCATTGAATCCGGCACGCACTAGCAGCACGATTTCAAACTGCTCCACCATCCAGAGGCGTATCGCCACCTGGAGAAGCACCGCCACAAACTCGTTTGACAACTGGGGAGCATCCTCAAGGAGTTCAGTTACAGCTCCGGGATCGATAATCTTAATTTCATGATTGCTGAAAGGAAACCGCAATTCGAGGAAGGAGAGACACAGAGGGCACAGCGTCTTCATCACAGGAGTCTGAAATGACGAACATCAGTCAGGTCGTTGATAAGACTAAATGCTAGTGACTGAAGAGACACTTACCATCCAATGCACGAGACCATTGTCAGCAATAGTTTTCAGTTCTTCAGGACAGAACTCTGAGTGGAGCCTCAGGGCAGATGGCATTCCAAATCTGGCATCCGCATTGTAAGGCTCCAACTATTTATACTATTTACACTCCTGAGGTATAAATAAATAGTATATAGTAAATGGTTATCTATATGTCATATAAACAGTTTATATAAAGTTTATATAGTTTTTTTTGGTCTCATCTTTTGATGGAGTTTTACTCAACTGTGAGCAGCCTGTGTGATTGTTGAGGCCTTGAAGGACCTGTTTGCATCAGCAAGCACATGACAGTGAGCAGAAAACAAACATTCAATATCAACACTTGCACCAGGAATGACAAGGAAATCTTATGTTATATAAGAAATGACAAGAAACTCATGTTCAAAGCCTATATGATGATCAACTGTCAGTGGTGGCTTCTGTCAAACACTATGACTTTCAATTGGCTCACTGTTGTGCTGTCAAATCTAGCAATTGTGCACTCAATAGCCCTATATCATCATAAAACTATGTATACTATATATATACATCTATTTACAATGTACAGGCCCAACTGTAAATAAACAGATATAGTAAACAGTTAAAACTATGTAACATAGTAAATAGATAGAAATGTTGGAGCCTTACCGCATTGCGCATGAGCAAGGCAAGCTGGCGTTGGGGACATCACAGCCTTCCCCCCTCGCACGCAAGGTAATTTCAGCTGCAACTTTGTGATGTGCTTTAACAGGTCGTCAGGCCAGTCTCCGGGCAACCGATCTGTGTGTAGCATGTCCAGATGCTTCCATTGTTCATTTGCGAGCTCATACCACGGCTCCGTTCCTTCCTGGTATCGGCGCATGTACCCATCTTTAAGGTTCCACATTTGCACAGTGTTTACCTCTGGAAAAGCACATACGAATGCCCTGACGGGAAAGATGCACGTGGTGATCACTAGCCGACGCAAACTTGTGGAAGTGCCAGGTTCGATGCCAGTGCAGTCCTCGGCGTCCTCGATGGTCACGTCCTGCAGCTCTAGCGTGTGCAGATGAGGCAAGGAGGTTACAATGACAAGCAGGCTGTGTAAACCTGAGACAACATCGAGAAAGTCTTTGATGCAAAGTGTGTACAGCATTTTCAGCAGATGATTCAGCATATCAGCATAGAATTTGGGCTCCCGCAATTCCACGTGTTGAACAGACTTTGCGCCATGTAGCGCAGCACCTAGGCCCAGGTATCGTCATGCTAATTCGTGCCAGTGCCCAATCGAGAATTTATGAAGATGACTTGCATGCTGTAGCAGCCGCGTCAGCGAGTACACCCAGTCTTCGTAGTCAGGCTCCTGTTCTCGATAGCACTCTAGCGATTCATTCCGAATCGTGAGAGAACGCAGATAGGTGGCCCGTATGTGGGTGGTGTCAGCAAGGACGAACTCGACGAATGAGATGAACCTCCGAAAGTCGAAAATCTGTGGGCTGTGAGAGTACAATGCGTAGCTCAGTCCAATCTCCCTGAAGTCGTGGCAGGTCACAGAGAGACTGAGAACATCTTGCTTCGAAAGATTGTCCACTATCTGTTGAATCGTTTCGGCAGCAAGATGGTTGAATGACATATTGTCGGTCGAGACAGAGCGTGAGTAGATGGCGTGATGATGCATCATCGAGCACCTTCGTGGGGGTTTAAGTAATGGATCAGCAAGACTGAGAGCAGTGGCTGTGGCTAAACAATGAGGCATATTGGAACTCAGCGGCCAGCCTTGGTGGCTGGTCAGTGCCACACAGGATGAACTGCATGATCCACGTGGTACTCTTTTGTGCATTCGAATCCCAGCATTTTGCGCCATTATAAACACGTGTCCTGAGAGTTTTCCTGCTGAATATTATGGTCAGCTCTATTTACTTATGATCGTACTTCAAGCGGGTATACTTGTGTAAGTCAAAGGCTCATTGCTACATGAGGCCCCGTCTCCCATTCCACAGTGTCTGATAAGAGAGGAGCCATTCACATCGTCCGATGTCGACCACGACTACCTGGTAGCGAAGACTGGTACTAGCATCAAATGCTGGAGCAAACAACAGAGACGCAACCGAGCCTTTGTCAGAACAAGTGTGTTCTTCCGAAGGAAGAAAATCGATTGCGACTCAAAGCCTTCAGTGTTTATGGTTGGAGATCTCTGTAATGTGATGAAGAAGAAGTTATCTATCACTCACCTTCACGAGCATCATATGGTTTTCGCTTCGAATTCGCAATTCAGTGCATGCCCAAAACCTCCTTTGCATAGATTTCTGATGTGAAACAGCACAGACTCATTCATAACGGAACAGATATCATCGAAAGCGTGTTACAGAGCGCATTGCGTGCCTTCGAAATGGCAACTTTGCGAGATGTAACGTCACGTGGTCTGCGACTCTCATCATAAAGCGTCCAAATTGCGGACAAAGAGGATGCATTGAAGTTAGCCAGTGAAGGAGTGCAATGCGGTACGTACTTGCATCAAGATTCAAGAAGCCAGAATTTATAAGGGAATCCGTGAGTGATCCCAGAAATGACAGAGCTCTCAGGCTCAGAGCATCACTCCGTCTACCTATAGAAGATGGGACATGCCCAGCGAGTGGCTGAGGAGAGGAGGCCATCCAGTTTCTATCATGTACTCAACCGAGCTCAAGATATGTACGTAGTACAATCAAATCCTGCCCTGCATGCAGCGGCGCTCGTCAAATGATTACATAAGAATCTCATGCAGAGTCACTATAGGCTAGTCGCCCCCCCGAACCCCTTCCGCCGCATCCCGCTAGGTATCGCCCCATCCACCCACCCCTCCAATTGTGGAACTACAATGTCCGGTGAGTGGCATTTCTATTGTTTGCGCCCGTCTGGTTCTTAAGTTATATTAGACTCGGTCAAACATCTTACTAGGATCTTCTCGTCTCCGGATTCCTGTCTGCTCAGTTGCAGGAGGCTTTATGGATCGTGCAGTCAGCCATCGGCACCCTTTGTTGTAGCATCGTTTATGCACATGCGGTGACATTATGCCAGCTGTACATTCGGTGCTCAACTTTTGCTGCTAGTCACCAGAATATCACGTTGGAGACGGTCGGACGATATGTATAATCGGTGTAACAGCGGGAAGATAGGCTTAATACAACAGATCACATCTGAAAGGCGATGGAACATGATCATGGTATGTCCTGGATTCTGTCCCTCAAATTACGCGTATCACGCTGCTTAAGCGAACACAGATGGAGATGCTTAAGTAAGTCGTCAAAGCTACGCGCATTCCAAACAGGTGGCCCTTTGCTAGTTCTGATTCTTGTCGTATGCCGATGCCATCAGCGAGGAACTTGACACAACCGAACATTGTCTTTACGATGAGAGAATATCCTAGGAAGATATATACGAGAAGCTTAAGTACTGGACCATTTAGTTATAAAGCTTTTGAAAGATGCTTATGTTCATAGCTGTCTACGACACTGTGGCATCGAAGATAAGCGTCTATGCCTATCCCAATGTCCCTCCTCTTGTGTCCTTAACGATCCGTAACTCGTATGCTTACCTTATAGGCTCCAGTCTCTGTTTTGTCAAGCTGCGCATCGTGGCCTGTTCTTTCTCAGGCCACGATCTCGGACAGCCCTGGTGATGCCGGCGCGCCACTCACTGGCTTGTGGGAAGGGGGGTTTCTAACAATTGACTTGATCTGTACATGTGGCCCCGGGCCACACAGATCGCTGGCCAGCGTCTCTCGCTTACTGAAAATTCTACTTATAATCGCCGTGAAGCCACTTGGCAATCCATCGATCCGTCCTCCCAACACATAGTCGCGCCACCGCTCTTCAAAGTACATCGCGGACTGTGACGTTATGTTTTTCACAAGACTCAGCGGTGACTGCGTCCAACAAATAGCAGATGGTCTCGACAGCCGTGACGCTCTCAGCCTCTCTTTAAGCTGCCGCGCTTTAAGGGACATCGGATTGCGCTCAGCGCTACGTTCGTACGGCCCACGCAAGTTCAATCCTCCCAAGTTTGTAGCGTTCGTCAAGTTCTTCCTCTCCGGCCCTCGAAATGGCTTCGCGAGTTCACTCCGCTCGCTCGCCCTCCGGAACTACACGCTCCCACAAGCTGTCGATGAAGAGTGGGTACGCGCCTTGATCCAACTGCTCGAAGGGGTGACGCTGCTCCGGGATTTATCGTTGTGCCACTGGGATGATCTCGTGAAGCATTACTCTGCGCTGGGCACTGCACTTCGTAATAGTTCTTCTATCGGATGGATAGAGCTGCGCAAGATTAAGTCGATTACGGGATCGCTGCTCGACCTCCCGGCTTCGCTGCACACGCTGTGCCTCACTGATGTGTTCACGGATTACGAAGGTCTGCACGCGCTGCTCTCTGCCGCAGCTTCCCTTCCTCGTTTGCACACTGTCGAGCTGCACAGGGTGCGCGCAAGGCATTTCGAATTCGACTGCTTCTCTGATGACCCTCCCGTAGCTACGACTGTGCGCCGATTTGTCCTCTACAGTTGCGAGCTTCCTTTCATCGTGCTCGTGCGTGCGTTTCCAAAGGTGAGCCATGTGGCGATTTGGGACTCGGGCGATCTATACTTGGCCGACGAAGGGGTTGACGTGGTGTCTTCATACGCTGACCCTCGCTGGGGGCACCTTGAGGACTTATTCATGAACTCATCATTCGCAGAGCCGATATTGGACGTGGTGAGCTCCGTGAGAAGTCTGGAGGTGGACTTTGAATGTTCAGCGTGGGAGGCTAGTGGCGAAGTGCCAATTGCTCCCGTTATTGAGAGTGTAGATGAGCATCCATGGCTTGGGTGGCTCGGTCCCAAGCACTACGCGGATATGATTGCCGTTGAAGAAAACCCGGAGCGATCGATAGTGAGTGCTCGACCACCAATTCGAATAACAATATCTTTAGGTAAATTGACTACTCATGGATCGATTTAGGCTTCTGCGATATCAGCTCTGCTTCCGCTTCATATTACCCGCCTCGACCTCCGTTTTGTCTACAGGTCTCCGTTTTCTGGTGAAGATGATTTTCATCCCGTCTCCACCGCAGCAATCGAAAACAGGCCAAAGACGTATCATTGGCCAGAGGGTTATGTTGCGACGCTGCTCGGCGCTGCGAAGGCGCTCCATGAGTTGGAATGGATTGGAGTGTCGGTGTCGAGGGATGTTGGAGTCAAAGTACAACGACAGTGGAGACTTCAGAATGGGGAATTGCGGGAGACAACAGATAGGCAAGATGATGGGTTGAGATGGCGACCGAAAGGAAAATTGGAGGAACTGGACGAGTCCATGTAGAGGGTGAATCGAAGCAGATTAGAATTTTACTGTGTCATCTTTACATCATCTTATCGCTTTACGGAGAACACACGAGGGGAACTGTTGCAGTAGGAGAGGTTTATCTAAGCTCGAGAATAATCCCCTTGTCCATTGCCCTAAAGCCTCCACGATCTTCGTTCTATCTCGCCCATCTCTCCTCCATTCACCAGCAACTCGACCGTCTGCAGTGTCGGGAGCATCCTTGCTGCACATATCAGTCCTGTAAAATATCTTTCCGATAACCGGGGAGTCTCAGTCGAATTACTCTTTGAAGTGCCGCGGACAGGACGTTCAGTATCGGACGGAGCAAAGTGGAATTGGAGGTGAGAGATATTGAGCTTGGCGATGGTCTGTACAGCGGGAACCTAGAGTGGCATTCACGTCGGTACGCCATAGGGAGAGAACATGAACGCACAGAGCACTCACCATCCACTGCTGACAATCCCGCTCAGGATAGACTCGCGAAGCATAATTGTAATAATCCGGACAAAGCTGCCAAACCTTCACCACACTGGCAGATGGACTCCCCGGGATCGTCCCGGGATAAGGAAAGTCGAGCCTCAGATCCTTCACGCATGTTGCCACCTCCCCTATCAAGTCTGCAAACCACGCATCCGTTTGTATAGATTCTAAATACTCCCAACGCGCCGCCGGGAGTGAGGGCCCGGTAGACTCATGCATGTCGAGCAAAAGAATGTCGCGGAGGTGAAGCAGCGTTGCGCTTCGAACGTTCGGGAACGTGCGCACAAATGGGATAATCGGCATGCAGCACCAGCCAACCACGAGCCTACGGACGCTCAAAGAGATGTGGGGCACGCCAAATGACATATCGACATTCGCTGCGACAGATACGTCCTTCAATTCCAGGGTATGCAGATGGGGAAGGGATGCGATGATGGCGAGGAGTGATGGAAGATAGCCGACGTCTGGCACGTGTGTCTGGGCGAGACAAAGGGTGTGCAGAGAGCTGGGAAAGTGATGCAGCGAGATCGGCGCGTTCGCCCTTAATATCATCCCATGCAATTCTATGCGTTCAAGAGAGCGTGCGTTGCTGAGTGCAGTACCTATAGCGGGGCACCACACAGAAATCTTCTGCCAGTAGCATATCGAGAACTCGCGTAGGGAGGTGGCGTCCTGTAGCAGCCGAATCAAGGCCTGTGCCCACTCTGCACGAAAACTGCACGAGTGGAATATAATCGGATTGTACAGCTTGAGCGAGCGCAAGTATGTCGCGCGCTTGGAATCGGAGGAGTGCTTGGAAAGAACGCATTCCGCGAACGCAATGAACTTGTCAAACTTGTAACACGGGGCCGCGTATTTGCGCAGTGCGGAACGCAGCCCAATGGCCCTGAGTGTGGTGCACGTCGCAGAGAGATTTATCGCATCTTCGCTTGAGAGGTCGTCCGCGATCTGTTGGATGGTTTCGTTGGCGAGGTGATTGAAGGACATGTTCGCATTCGCAGTATAGCGGATCGGGACCACAACGACAATGTAGCGAGCAATGTTGGAGAGAATTTAAGTGAGCGAAAAGAGGCCTGTGAGACCAGGGACGGAGGCCATCTATATAAATTTGTGAACGAGTGGCCAAGTTTAAACTCAGCGGCAAGGCCAGTGGCACGTCGGGGCCACACAGGTCGGACCGCCTAGTGGTCGGTCCTAACGGATTTATTGTCAATTGATCATGACCAACTGAAAGATGTGCATAGCCTGTACCTACCTGTGATCTTCTGGTCCTCCACATGCGTGCACATATGTGGAAATGAAACTCGTACGTACATATACAACCGGCCAGGTACGCGCGCCATGACCGCAGCTTACGTTGATGTCCGTTCTATCATGCATCGCAGTCGAATTTTAAGTCATCCTCACCCCAGATGATCGTCTAAGTATACATGACGTCCTGATCCCTGTGGGTTCGTCCGCTATGCGGCAGAGAGTAGAAGATGTCCTAGAAGCCACGATCGGCAGGGATGCAGACGTCAAAGACTCGTCCGTGCGTGCCACGTGGTCGGATTTCTTGAAATGCTTTGGAAGAAACGGAGAAAGCTGCACAGATTCTGGGAATGTAGACATCAGAGTCTCGCTCGAAGATGCTCATGCCCGGCCATATGTCAGTTCAGCAACGGGAGCAGGCTGGTCAAGAGCACCTCAGCGGCTTGAGGGCATTGAAATATTGCCTGTTCAATATTTGCATGGGCTGGTAATTTCAGAGGTTAGAAAATATGGGTCAGTACTGTGCAGGTAGACTTCGTATAAAAACAAAGATGACCGTCGAAACCTGAGACGAGCGCTATCGTGTCCTGTGCCGATCAGCAACACCAAGTTCAAGGCGCCTATCTCCGCCTACAGCACCGTCTCTCACTGCCACAAGCGATCCACAAGCAATTCTCGAAGGACATCGATTGGTGCTGCCTACGTGCGATCAATGGCGCACGTCCCTGACATGTCTGCACTCCGATACTCTCCAAATTATTATCGATAACGTTTCAGTCTAGGACGCGCCCTCAGAGTCCCGACAGTTTCGCTTCATCTAAGTTATCTGCATTCTATGACTTCGTCTTTGCCGAACCCAGTGTGAGAATGACCTACATTCGCTCCGTGAAGCTCGAGGAGCCGATCCACTACTCCCCGTTTGATTATGATTCGCCTGTCGCCACCACGATGTGGACAAGTTCTTTGGCTCGCCTCCCTAGAAGAGCCCCTGCTCTGCGATCGCCATCGCTGCACCGCCTGGACACCATGATTGCTCGTCACCCGCACCTCGCCCATTGAGCTCCGCGACGCTCCTGCTGTGCAACACATCAATCTGAGATACTCAACTTCGCAATCGCTTCGATATCTACCAAACGATCTACACACATTGTGCCTGGGTGATATCGTAGTACGAGAGAGCCCAGAACTCGGTGCTTCCCTTGCTATTCTCTGTCACCTCATCGCTTCCTTGTCTCCATACTCTTGAATTGCGCGTCGTCGCACTTTCACCACATGTTCAAGTAGACATCCCAGCCGATCCTCAACATGCATCCTTGACTGAGAAACGCCTCGTCTTTTCCTCGTTCTCTGCCTATGTAACTTGCCCGTCACATCGTTCGTCCGCGCATTCCCCGAAGTAGCGACACTGGAGGTCCATTGGCAGGAGATGGTACACACAGACAGCTGGTTTGGAGCCTGCTGTGGCTACGTTGCTTGGCGTATTTCTCATCTGAAATTGGACATCGTGCACTATAGAAATCCGACTCGCGCAGTGCTCGCCCACGAATGCCCTAATGCCTCAAAATGCGGATAGAACAATGGTGGATCTCTTTGCAGAATCATGTACGCACTCCGGTCGTGCTAAAATGGTTGCCACTTTGCGCCAACTCGAACCAACTATGACTCGATGCATAGCACCTTGCAACCCGATAATTTACACCCCATTACGTACGTAAAATCAATCTTCGGGCAGAGGATAGCTCCAGTGACACGGGTCAAGACGTACAATATGGGAGAATGTTGTCGCTACCCTGCCAATGGTGAACAGCTGAGTCTATGAAGTGTCACGGCAACGTTTGGATCATGCAGTTGACGTCTACCAGGGACATCGCAATGCAGTACGGTGCAACGGTATTCATCTTCGATCCTCTTTGCCGACGACACCGATGATGCCGTCATTCTTGCGGAATGATTCCACAGCGGCAAAGTTCACCGCGTACAGTCCTTGATCAGGCGCCGCTTATTGTTATTGTGCGCGTGCACTCGTTCATAGGGGCCCGCTAACTTAGCTATACTTATGACCTCTTTGCTGAAGCGATAGCAGCGTTAAAAGCGCAAATGGCATCACTGGCGCCTCCGGCAAAGTTTAAAGTGAGTGATGCGATGCAGCTTGTGTTGTTGATTGATCGATCAACTACGTCTTTGACCACTGTTTTGCATTCCAGTCTTCTATGGTCGGTGTGCTAAAGTGCGGATTACACATGGTGCTCTGCTTCAAACACTTGAGTTGCCAGTGGCACGAGGTACTGCTCACGTTGGACTGGCCCATGTTTTGGCATTTGCGCACAAGCAGCGGATGAGAATTTGCGACACAGCATAGGTCGGCATGTCAGTTTCATCAGCTCGATTGACGACGCCATCAAAGAATGGACGTCGTGGACACCCACGTCTACCTGCTTTCGCAAGGCTTGGGACACCCCCGTGAATGCATACAAATCTGTTCGAGGACAACTTTCGTTCTTTTGTCACCTGCTAGCCTTGTCGCCGCGAGACGGTGCTTCCTTTCTTCTCTTAGCTTATCCACACAGTTTCATTTCGAGTCATGACGTCGGGACTCCCTCAGCCTTATAATCTCTCCTTTACGGATCAGTATCCCTTACTACAGTACTATCGTGCAAGAGACGGTCCCATCGGCACGGATTGGAACCTGTCATATACAGGATGTGAACAGAGTGCATGGAGTACCACGAACGACTGGGCCAACGGGGTACGTAAATTGAACATGCACCTGGGTTCTCATTAACTTGGCAGACAGACAAGCGTGCACAGCACAACGGCCCCCGATAATGCCGTGTCGCTCATGTGGGTTGGTACTGCTGTGTGGCTGTACGGCCAAGGAGGCAGAGGAAACTATACGGTCCAGGTCGACGACGGCGCTGCGATCCTTGGTTTGGGCAGCGATGACGAAGGGTTGCTCTTCAGCCAGATAGGCATGGAATACGGCTCGCACACGGTTAATCTTGCGCTGGTTGCAGGCGAACTCGCCTTCACCGGCGGAATCGTCACCGTCGGTATGGGCGTCGAGGGGTGAGACATCTCCCGAATGCATGCGGCACGTTGCTCAAATGCGTGCAGCGTAGCTATGGTCGTCGGAAACCTCTCCGCTACAGAAACCAATTCAGCTGGAGCACTCACTGTGAACTCGTTCTACAACACCAAGGGTGACGGCTGGACCATGTCAGATTCTTTCTTCTACCCGCGCTTGGTCACTTCTACTCCAAATGCATCGGTGACGTTCGCCCTCTTTGATCCTGTTGCATTCGCAATATATGGTAGCGTCGATGATACCGCGGGACAGTTCAGTATCTCGACAGAACCTCCCCTTGCGTACCCAGGCAACAACGTCCAATACGGCAATGCCTATTCTCACTGGCGTGCCTTCGATCAGCTGAAAGCCTTCATTACCGCCTTTGACAGTTCAACAAGCTATAACTTGACAATAACTAATACCGCGTCAAATGCAACCCTGGATCTTACCAAAGTCACGATATATAGCGCATCTGAGATGTACGTGCTTTTCTGATGCTCATGCTCTGTTTTCGTCCACCGATGGGGGAATATGCTTCAGACTTTCACCTATCTCGAGTCCCTCGAGGTCCCTAGACAAGGGCGATATCGCGGGGATCATTGTATGTCTTTTGCGCAACGTCGTAATAATGAGACTGAACACATCCTTAATAGCTCGGATGCGTATTTGGAATGGTCCTGCTCCTTTCGTTGATCATTTGTGTTCTCAGAAGATATAGAGATGGCTGGAAATCCGTGCCACTGGAGCCTATTACACCGTGTAAGGTTCCTTTCATGTTGGATCGTTTTCTTCCACGCTGATGATCAATGCCCAGATGACCTCATCGCCATGGATCAGGAGAGGCAAATGCGAGAGACTGACAATCGCCTGTCGAACAGCGTCGAGGGCGTGGAGCCTTGTCGAGGAGCCGGTGTCTGTCTCGTAATAGACGAGCCTCCAAGAAGCGGCGTGACATCCCCTCCGCCTTATCAGTCGGAATGGGGCGGCAGCATCAGACGAATACTTCCTAGGAAATCGTGAAGAGGTCTACAGTCAGGTTTGTGTACTTCGGCATCGAGCATCTGCATCCTAGCTCGTGCCGTATCAACCATGCTGCGCGATGCAATGGCCCCCATTTCTGACGCGCATACATCGATCATCAGGAGGAAATACTTTGGGGTTGTTTCTTTACTTGTTTTCAGCATGTTGAAAGCTTGTGCTCGGAAGGTATCGATAGATTAGAACCGGCTGGGCCAGACAGGATCATAACCGAGTGTGCATCTATTTTGAGACAGCTGCAGGGGAGACACGACGGAAACGTGTGCATTTCCGTGTTCGCAAACCTTGTGAGAATCTTCTATCTGTTAGAGATCGTACCGATATACGGAGATATTTCGCGAAGTCGAGCAGGAGAGACACACCTGCACAGCCTGCACAGATTTATTTTTCCACGGGAAACCTGATGAAAAAATGGTGAAAATATCTTAAGCCTGGATATGGAAATAGTATGGAAATCAGGTGGAAACAATTGAATTATGTTACAATTGCTTCACCAAAACATATCGGTATCACATATTTTTGGACTGAAATATCTTCCTTTGGGAAATAGCTTCACTATTGCTGATACGTTTCAGTAAAACAATCGTAACATAATTTAATTGTCTCCGCCCAATTTCCATACTATTTCCATATCCAGACATAAGATATTTTCACCATTTTTGCATCAGGTTTCCCGTGGAAAAATAAATCTATGCAGGCTGTGCTGGCAATGCCGGTCGTGCAGATTTCGATGCCCATATGGTTAGGCTGTGGCGGATACATGCGGTCAAAGGATCTCAGCGGGGAATTTATTAGCTGCAAGAGACTAACGGAGCATCCATGATTCGATTGTGTGTATCATGGATGATCCAACATGCATATGATCCGGGTTCCATATTGATACCGTTCATTAGATGGCATGATAGCCGTATAATGAAGGTTGTATGTGATTCATAGTAGCAGACTGAGAACTTCAAGCTAGTTAGCGTCCTTGTCAATGGCTCTCAACGGTTCCCTGTCTGTCAACGATGAGCTTTCACTTGCAATCCAGCATGGGAACAATGAGGCCGCAGAGCTTGAGAATATGGAAAAAGGTCAGGTAGACACATTGCAGAGACGCCGAGTACACCTTCGACCGCGTGCTGCTAGACACGGCTCTCATCTCCGCCACGGCCTCGTCACACGTGTCCTGCTCATCTCTCGTCCGCTGTCCCTTATAAGACCTCCATTGCGTCAATACGCAGGTGCGTGGTTGCATCTATCCATCTGCGTTCGTCCCCAGATATCTCAACATCATCATCACCCTCGCAGTGACTCCCCTTCATCATCATAATGGCCGAGAAACTCGACGCGCCTACCTCTTCCACTGATGCCGCCTCGGGGCCCAAAGAGGGCAACCTCGCCGGCGGGCCCAAGGCCATCATCAAGAACGTCGACATGAGCGAGGAGATGCAGCAGGAGAGCGTCGACATTGCGTCGGCTGCGCTCGAGAAGTACAATATCGAAAAGGACATCGCTGCACAGATCAAGAAGGAGTTCGACCGACGCCATGGGCCGACATGGCACGTCGTCGTCGGGAAGAACTTTGGCAGCTACGTGACACACGGTGAGCACGTCGTTCCCCTCGAGTACCACCCCCCCACCTCTCGCGACGCGTCCTGACGCGCCACCTGTGATCTGTTGTACCATCCTGCCATTACTCACTTGGTTCGCTCAACAGAGACAAAGCACTTTATCTATTTCTACATCGGTTCTCTCGCCATTCTCATCTGGAAGTCATGAAGACCCCATCCGGACGCTTCGCATGCGTGCCGCTGCGATGGCCTGGGTGACCGAGGAAGGGATGGGACGAAATGTGAGGCGATCTAGGTGAACGGGTTGCAGCAATGATACCACCCTCCTCTTCTGATGTAACTGCACATGCGTTCCGAGCCATGGTCCCGTAGTCGACTGTTCTCTTGATTCGCTTTCAATGCTCTGCTGACTGTCCCCCACGTCCGTGACGCGCTCAATATTCATTTGGCATGTTGGCCTCTCGTGCTCAGCGAGACGGTGTAGTCAACCCGACAGTGATCAAGATATCCGGAGGCAACGAAGGGAATGCTACATCAAACGCATTCTATACAGTGTGATCAACTTTGTTCAGCTAGTAGTACAATGACAATCTAGGCACATCTAGAGATACAACAGGGCTATTGCTACATCACGTCCGAACAGTCTAAAGATCGGAGAAATAATTCGAGATATAACACACGCGAGAGGGCTTAGCTCCTCTCAACAATCTGTATGATCACCCGTCCAACACACTTGTCCCCATCCCGCTCATAAATACCAATATTCAGCTCGCCCGTATCCCGCGCCGTCGGGACGCCCCAAAACTCCACCACGCGCTTCTCCACCCGCGCACCCGACGTCCCCGGCACCGTGTTCAGATCCGACTTGACGAACTTCGGCAGCGGCTTGCCCGACATGAGCCGCGCCTCGAGCATCTTAGGCTTCCGCTGAGTCGTCCCGTTGAGCGGGCTGCCGGCGCTGTATGATACAGGCACGCGGAACTTGAACTGCTCTCCACTGCGTGCGAGCATACGCGGTACGATGGGGATCTTCCCGCTTGGGCTATACGCGATCTCCTGACCATGAGTTGACAGTTCTACGGAGAATGAACCCGAAGGCGAGCGCGCTGAGAGACAGTCATCAACAACGAGTAGCAAGGACCTGGAGAGAGATCGAAGACGCACCGGAAGAGGCAGCACTGTGCAATTCATCGCCGATTGATCGTGCGTACGGACTAGCAGGATGACCCTGGCGCGGGCTCTTCTCCACGTCATCGTTCACGGTCTTACGCTCAATACCAGCAGCATTCCTGAAAACCTTGGCCACCTGACTGACAACGCGCTTCGTCCGCGCGCCTCCAGTGGCAGTCTGCACCGCACCGCCAATCGGGGCGTCGGGATCCGCGGTAACCGCGCCTGATGGGAGCTTGGGTACCGGTACGCGGCTCGAGCTGGTAAACGGCACCAAACGCGGCCGACCAGAGTCAAACCCTCTCTCGCTGTTGCGCGGGGAGCTGACTGACATCCCGCTCCGCACGCTCGTGGCACGCGCCGCGCGCTGCACGATAGCCTCCGCCTCGTGAGTCTTCGAGGATGAGTTAGACGTAAGGGACGACGAAGCTGAGGCTCCAGAATCGGCAGAGCGTCTTTGGTTGCTTTTGCCGGCGAGATGAGCTTGCGGGGGCGTCTCCAGTTCTTTTGCACCCTTCGGAGGTCCAAAATCGGCCCTCCGGCGAGGGATTGAGCGTTCTCCAGTTGACGATGATGGAGAGTCAGCAAGGCTAGATAAACCACTAGGACCATAGTGACTGAGGCCCATATCTTCGAACGGCAGAGGTACTGCACTAGGTACCATTGGCGGCCCCAAAGAGCTCTGACCGAACGTGAACGGCAAGCCCTCGACAGGTACGCCCGTCATCGCGCTCACGCGGTGGTCGCTCGTCATAATCAAGGTAGGCTTCGAGATGACCGGACGCCGCTGCTTTCCCAGGCTACGTTTGTACTTGTCGCTCACGATGCGTGCGGTGGACTTGATCTTGCCGAGGAATTCGCCCTTGCGCATGAACCCGGGGCTTTGAGGACTCCTCGCACTGAGTATTGAACGAGGATGTGACAGCGTCCGCGAAAGAACCTGTTGCAATGAGAAGCCTAGCCCTTCCCTGTTAGTCGTGGGTGCCGCCTCCTTGGTAGTGTCGTACTCTGTCTTTGGCCCTTCGGTGACCCTGCCGTCAACCTCGATGCCGATGCCGTACCATTTCATCTCTTCTGTAGTCCACGCACGTGTTCCTTCTTCCCCAGTAACAGCCGTATCCGGTACGCGAGCGTAGCGTCGCATAAGAGCCACTGCAAATGCAAGACCAAACAGACCAGTCAAGATACCGAAGCCAATCTTGACACCTAGGAGCAGCTTCGCACGAACAGCAGCTGAGAGGCCTCCTCCCGTTTGCTGATGAGCATAGTCCGAGTTCGACAGGGAAACGGGGAGACTGATGTGAGACGTTGAGTGCGTGACGTGAGAATAGGCAGTGAATGTGACGGTTATGTGTGAATAGCTCGCCGACACGTTCGAAGGGATGGTGCCAGTGAGTTGCGACGAGCTCGGATCGAAGGAGAGATACGCGCTCGCCGAAGCAGGGTCGAACGCCGCAGTCAAGTTGACATCTCCATTCCCAGTACCCAGGTCCGAGCTATTGGAGAAGTACCGCGCAAGATCGAACTGTACGTTCTGACCAGGAAGCACGAGGAGAGGTTGACCCGTAGCTGCCGTGAAGTAAGATGGCACGAAGTCCACGGAGACATTGGTTTGGATGCTTTGATGGATCGATGCTGTCAACGTTACCGGCAAGACAGGTCCATCATCGATGTCGTTCGAATCGTTCGGGGCTGTTCCACTCAGTGTTCTCGTCCCAGAGTCATACTTGATCCAGCCGTTTGTTCTTGAGGTGTCGATGTTCAGAGATATAATGTCCGATGGTTGGACGGGCTTTCCATCCAGAAGCACACCAGCAAAGTCATCCGGCGAGGTCAGAGTAAAATTGAACGCATCGCCAGAAGTCACGTTGATGGTAGGCAGGGAGAGCGTCGTCATCGACAACTCATGATCAGCTACGACGATGTCAAAGGAGACAGAGCCGGCAGAGTAGCCCTCTTGATCCGATGCGTACATGGAAAGAGACACTGTCGGTGGACTAGACGAGTTGTCAGCTAGCGGAGTGACGCCGTCGAAAGTGAGTACGTCCGGATTGAACACCATCCAATACGGAAGAGGAGAACCATCAGCGCGCAGACCTGCATAGTAAACATCTCCATCTGAGACAAACGTGTCCGCGAGAAAACCAATGCTGAACGACCAGCTCGGCGGTATACGCAGAGTCGGACGAGAAGTGTTCAGGGCCGAGTTTTGTGAGAGAAGGAAGACCGACGAGAGAGACGGGTTAGTGGCATAAAACTGCTGGGCGACCGGTATTTTCAGCTGGGGAGGAGCATACGACGTCACGCACAGCGTCATGGACGACGAAGCAGAGTCAGAGGTCGCAGGATCGGTCGCAGTCACACGGACACCAGGGGTGCCTTCGTCGTCGGACGAGGGCGTGCCAGAGAAAGTCAAGGTCGAGTTGTCGAAGGACAGCCATGCCGGCAGAGTGGATGTCGTATACTGCAGCGAGCTATTCTGCGACGAGACAAATGTATCGCGCAGGAAAGACCAAGAGTAGGACTGGTTGACGCGGGCAATGAGAGGAAGTTGGTCCGAGAGAGGGAACTGTACAGAGACGTTGGAGGCAGTAGCGCGAACGGCAGAAAGAACGAGGCATAAAAGAATGACAAGCATAGTGATGGGATGGGTTGGCAGAAACAGCGGGCCCATTCTCAAGTCGACCAGCGACCTCACTATCGAGTACGACGAGGAGGCGGAAAGGAACGACGAGGAAGACGATGCCGGCGGCACGACGAGCAACGCGCAGAGTCGAACTGGCGCGCAAACAAGAGTCAACAACGCGGTGGATGAGATGTTTACGTAAGCGTGGCTGCTGTTCTCGAAAGACACGCCTTGGGTGCGAGTCGACCACACCTTTGCTCTGGCCATAACCCTCTCCTCTGCCTCGTGCAGGCCCCCGCTTTCCCCTCTCTCCATGTCTTATTCAAGACACGCGCAGTCGTCGTCACACTCCTCGCGGCGCACGAACCAGTCCGTCTCGTCTGTCACATCCGCAACTTCAGTATCATCATCCCGCAGCGAGCGAAGCGAACGGAGCGAACGTTCTGCTCGGTCTGGCTCCAGCGTATGTCACACGAGTCTATCTGGGGTGTATGTCCTGACATTTGTACTAGCCTGCCGTTGAGACGGCCGTTACTCGGCTGCTCGTCTCGATCAAGCAGCTCCTCGAGTCCCTCACAAAATGGAGCAGGCAGGAAATCATTGAGACCGAAGTCAGCGACGTCTATGTCCGGCTGGGCAACGACTTTAACGCGGCAGTGGCTGCGTTTGCTGCATTCAATATCCAGATGCAGTGAGTGCCCGTACTGCTGCGTGCGCGTGGGTTCACTTCTAATGATCGTCAAGCGAACTCATGACGGTTCCGGATGAGCTTCGCAACGTGCTCGAGACCTGCCTATCCGAAGACGCCACACCTGAGAACTTGGACATCTACCTTCCTGAAGTCCGAAGGATCATCACGAACTTGCTCCAAGGTTTGCGAGGCAAGCAAACCCTCTACCGGAGCGTCGTCTCAGATCACCGACAACGGTCATCCGGTACTGCAGCTGCTGAGGGCGAGCACAGGTCACGACGCGGCGAGAGAGGCTCAAAGCGCGAAAGCGACACGCTGTCGCGCACGCCAACGATACGATCCACCGCAGATGCTCCCGACAGCGTCGCCAAACGCACTGTAAGCTCATCCGGCCGACGGTCCCACAGCCAATCTGCATCTACCAGCTCAGAGACATATGGCAGTCCGCGGGAAGGGCAGGCGCAATCCAGCCGGACATCAACACCATCGCACACGCCTTCGCGGTCACAAACCGCGGAAAGCAGTGGCTGCAGTCCCTCTCGCGCGCGATCCGCCTCGGCAGTGGATGCATTGCATACGAACGGATACCACCCAGAAGAAGACGACGACACGACGCCGAAACACCACTCACTGCCTGAACCCGAGTCGGAACCGATGCCGAACCCACATCCGCCGCAACAAGTGCCAAGCCACGTCAAGCGATATTCTCTCGTCGACCGACCTGTCTCCTCTCCAACACCGCCGCCCACAGTCATTATCGATGAAGCCCCATCCGACGAGCGCCCCACTCCAGAACCCATGTCCCCAGCTCAGACACCCCCAGAGCTACCGTCCGACAACCAAACCTTGGAGACACCAGGCGTGCAAAACTCACTCGCAGCGCTGAGGAACCGCGATGCGCTGGAACGGCGCGCGTCGAAGCGGTTCTCCACTTACAACATCTCCAAGATGACCGGCGGCTCAGGGCGGGAACGGCCTAGTGCGAGCAGCAATCTGAACCGACGGTCATTGGCGGTCTCGTCTGCACTCAGCCCGGGAGAGCTAGCTGTGCTCACGGAGGCGGACGAGGACACACCGACGGTGGTGCATCGGAAGAGGACCAGAGGCTCGCAGCGATCGCGAAATCCTTCGCCTATCCACGAAGAGGACGAGACGCCCCCAGTGCCGCCGTTACCTATACAGCAGCCCTCACTTAAGGTCCCGTCGTTGCCTATCGTTGAGAACGAGACGTCGGACGAGGCTCCGCCACCGCTGCCTGCAAAGGGACCGACGGCGACGCCCTCGGACGAGCAGGCTCCCACAGAGTACTCGCCGCGCTCCTTCCCAGTCTTCTTACAGGTCGGCCGAGAGGTGAAGAAGGCAATGCTGGAACCTGGATTATCGGTCTCGAGTCTCCGGGTGCTGTTCGTTGACAAGTTCGCGTACAACCCAGGACAGGACAACTTCCCTGCGATCTATATCCGGGATCCTCAGAGCGGCGTGCAGTATGAGCTCGAAGACATGGATGAGATCCAGCCGAAGTGCCTGCTGTCGCTGAACATTGAGCGTAAGTAGCAGTCCATCAATCTCTAATACAGATGTGCCAGATCCACTGATGGACCGTGTCATTATAGCCCTTGATCAGATCAAACAGCATATCGACTCCCAGATCTCGTCGCTATCGCAAGACATCAAGGATCTCCGCACTATGGTCGCTAGCAACCGTCGGACGTCGAATCCACCACCACCCATGATCATTGCCCAGCCTCTTGCCGAGAACGCGCCGGCGACGGCACGCCCGACAGATCGCCAGTTCCGCCACATTGCACGGCGCCTGTCGAGGTTCCTGCCGGATGACGCCAAGTCGCCTGTGGAGGAGGAGCCTGTGACGCCGCAGCATACGGGGACGTCGTCGATCCAGGTGCAGATGACGGGCACGTCGGTCATGTCCGAGTTCACGACGCGGGTGGTGTCGGACTTGAAGACGCAGTTCGACGAGGTGCAGAACCTGCGGCGGGACCTGGGGATCATGCGGCAGATGTACACCGAGTTCATCAAGCAGACGAAGGAGTCGCTGGGCGCGCTGCGCTCGCAGACGCAGAACGTGCGGCAGCTCGCGACGCAGAAGGTCGGCGGGGCGCGCGCGTACATCAATGATGGGAAGGCGAAGCTGGACTCGCGGAGCCAGAACGTGCTGACGAAGATGGAGGAGCTGCAGGACACGGTGGAGAGCATCAAGGACGACGTGCTCAAGCGGAACATATCGCCGAAGCCGCATGTGCTGAAGAACGTCAAGGGGGACATGGAGGCGGTGGCGACGGAGCTGCAGAGCCTGAAGGAGCACATCCAGACGGTGAAGCCGATGTGGAAGAAGACGTGGGAAGAAGAGCTGCAGAACATCGTCGAGGAGCAGCAGTTCCTGCAGCACCAGGAGGAGTTCCTGAGCGACCTGCTGGAGGACCAGAAGGCGGTGGTGGAGGTGTACGGGCACGTGGAGAAGGTGATATCCCTGCGGGGCTCTGCCGCTGCGCGAGCGAGCCGGAGCAAGAGCTTCAGGCCGCCGCCGATGGACGAGGGCCACACGGGGTTGAGCACGGTGATGCTGGAGATCCGGGGGGCGGCTGTGGACCCGGAGCGGCGGATGAAGGCGATCGCCGCGAACGAGAAGATACGCGAGAAGGAGCTCGCGAGCCGGTCGGACGAGTTCCAGTCTGAGCTGAGCGGGTTCGTCGGGGGGAAGAAGCTGAAGATGACGGGGGGGACGGAGGAGACGGAGCGGGTGAGGCAGAAAAGGAACGAGCAGACGCTCAAGGCGATGTTTGGCCCCTCGTCGGGCACGGCTTCGCCGATGTCTGCGCCGAACTCGATGCCTTCTTCGCCGGTCACGTCTGCGCCTATTTCTACCGAGTGAGATGTCTGGCTTGCATGCTTGCAGTTGGACGCGTGCGTGATCTGAGCCCGAGCCGAGCCTGGCATGCTGCCGGCTAGGAGGGCTTTAGCGGACATGCCGCCCACATGACGGGCGGCTGCGAAGGCGGACTGCCCGCCGGTTTATTGGCTGTCGCGCGCGTCGCGACGGTATTCTCGATTAATCGTTGTGATATATCTAGTGGTGGTCTCTCTCAGTTCCATTATGTGGCTCTTTATCGCTCGTTGTAAACTCGCGCGCAGGGCGTACGAATGGCTTGCTTTGGGATCGTTGCTTGCTAGACTCATGCATGTTAGGTCCATACCATTTCTTTCTTTCGATTTGCCGCTGCAGGTGTAGCACAATTAATTACGAGTTATTAGGCTCGTGTTCGGGCGAGCACCATCGGATCGTTTGAATTTCCTCTCGTGTAGCCGAGTCGCCAGTTGGTGGCGACGTGGTTCGATAATGGCATATAGACCAGAGTCCATGCTCTAGTGAAGCTTTGTGCGTGAGACCATACAGTGGGCAGTTCTGCAGAATGCGCGTGTAGCCATGATCGACGCGCGAAACCTGACCAGGACAGCCGAAAAAACCATCTAAGCAGTTACCTTGGCGTCACGCGTTTATGCGAGGTTTGATTGCGTCTAGCGAGAGCTAGGGTGTTTGCATAGACCGGGGAAGCCGCCACTTTACCTACATGAAAACTTTATCAATTATCATGTCGCTCCCAATCCGCGGCCGTCAGATTGGAGGCGACAAGGTAGGATGCATCCCTTCTGGGCCGCGGACGGCGATCTCCGAGCTCGAGGGCCAGGCTGAGACGTAGCGGATTTTTCAGGGGTACCAGCTGTCGAGATCGCGGTGAGGATGGTGCCGATGTGCGTGTGGTAGATTCGAAGCCAGAAGGCGAGAGATAATGCTCGCCATGTGCTGGAGGAGAGGGTGCGCTCTGAGTGAGCATCGGTTGCCGTAATTACTTCCTTCGTTGTAAGATAGCCTTGATGTAAAACTTTGCATCAGCTGATTACCTGAATGTATTGCGATAGTGCACGTCTAGACGTGTTGCGTATATGAGCTGATTCTCCTCGGACGGGCGTAGGGAAGGTGGACGCGTCGAGTCATATCGCGTGCCAGAGTTGCACGTTGCTGTATACCCCGACGCGTTTGAGGCGTCCCTGACTTTCGATGCAAATGTGGACAGTGGATTTTTTCCGATTGCCAAAGTGTGCATGTCGCGTGGACGACATTCTGTTCTAGTTCCGACGCAACACCGCGCACGATAAGGTACAATTGATACTTACCCACTCTTCCGGTTCCATGCCAGAGCGGGGGCAAGGCGGACGTTCCTCTTCGTTCTCATCAACAGATCGAGGGTGAGTTCTGCATGGCGAGCCGAACAAAGAGCGACCCGCGAGCGACGGCCAATTTGATCTGGACAGTGCGTGGAGTAGAGGGAGGATCAAAAGAGGAGAGGACGATGATGGCCGGGCTAAGCGGACGCGCCATCAATCTCGCACGAAATCTCGATCACGTCCCCCTCCACCCCGCCATCGCCATCTTGATATCTCCCGCCGTCGCCTCGGGCAATGCACCACACTCCCTGGACAAAGATCCCCTCGAGCTCCCTCCCCTCCGACAGCATCCCCCCCGCGAACGCCAGGCAGTCCCCCTCCCCCGCGACCGTCGGCGGCAAGGGCAAGCGCGAAGTCCGCAGGCTCCAGAAGCTGCACGATGCTCTCAAGGGCTCGACCGGGAGAGAGAAGGACCCAAAGGGCGGGTGCTTCTGTCAAGGTACGTCCTCCCCTTCTGCGCTCGCGTCTTCTTCGCATCGAAACACCCGCAGCGCGCATGCACGCTCTATCGCCGTACACACCCATCTGCCGCCACTGCGGCCTCATCCTCTGCGCGCTCCACCACCCTTCCTACGCCTGCCCCTCCTGCGCGGCCCCGCTCCTAACCCCGCCCGCACGCGCCGCCCTCCTCCGCACGATCGACACCCAGATAGCCGACACCCTCGCGCACGAAGCGGCCGAGCGCGCTCGTGCGCTCGAGGAAGCCCGCACCGCCGCGGGCGCGTTCCCCGCGCTGTCTGCCCTCACAACTAAAATCGCCGCCTCCGACGCACTCGTCGCGCACCCCGTGAACCAGTCGCACAAGGTCCTCTCGCTCAATGCAAAGACGAAGAGGGTCACCGTGGCTTCGTACCCGTCTACGCCTGCCATCTCCCGTTCGGCGTCGCGCGAGCGGCAGAAGGGAAAGGAAAAGGAAGAGCAGGAGACGCGCGTCCCGCCCCCGCCCAAGGAGGTCCCGCATGTGAGTAGCGATGCGCTGGACCCGCTCCGGCCCTGGGCGAACCTGCGCGGCGGGTGCGTGACCTACGTCCCTCTGCCGAAGGCGAGCGAGAGCGGCGCATCCAAAGGCAGCTCGAGAAGGAGGGGAAGGGGGAAAGGACATGGGTCTGGTACGCGAATAGAGAAGAAGGAGAATCAGTAGCGGGCAACGTGACTCGCCCTTCCTACGTATGTATGGTAGGACGGGCCCCCTCGAACGGCAGCGGCTCATTAGGAGCTGGCTGATGCTGCCATTATCCCACTGGCTATGCTATCCTCTGCGCACGGGTGAAACATCGCATCGCATCGCACACGTCCATAAGAGCGACATGTAATGTACTTACATTAAACCACACAGTGTTCGCGAACCGCAGAATCTGGACGCGATGCGATGGAAGTCGAAGCTCTGCCCACAAATGAATACGGCTCATCTGGATCCTGGCCCGTGCCGTACTTCTTGCATTTTGCGGCATGCCGTCACAGGGCTGCTCTTCTCACCTGCAGGGCGACGTGGGCATCCTCGTACTTGGGTTCAGACCACCTGCACACGTCGGGCAGCAACCATTGCATCGCGCGACGCGTCTTCACACACCGTCATGCGCCTTTTCTTCCTCACCCTTACCCTTCTCCGGCGCGTTCCTGGTGAGAACGACGCACCTCCCACGCAGCCATGCCATCATTGCACATTGCACCATGCGTCACTGGTCTGCAAACGGAAAAAACGCACTCGCACGGATCTGTATCAGGAAGAACGCACACCTCCGAATAACCACACACCGAACACCGAACACCGAACAGAAAAAAGGTTCATCGTTCAGGTGTAGCTAATTATGTTACATCGCACAACGCAGGCACAACCTTGAGCTTATCCACCATCGTCTCCATTCCCGGCCCCACTATTGTCAGCGTCCGCGTCCGCATTCGCGTCCGAGTCCTCCGCGCCCGCGTACACCACCGCCCGCAGATCCTCCATCACCTCCCTCAGCTCACCCAGCTGCGTATCCTTGTCGCGCAGCTCCTCCCTCGCCGCCGCCAGCTCCCTCTCGATCGCCTCCATCCGCCCTCCCTCCACCGCACCGTGCTCGTGTCCCGGGATCTCCTGCTCGAGGTTGAGGGGAGAGAGGAGGGAGGGCCAGTCCGGGAGTAAATCTCCCAGCGGGGGCGAGGATACCGAGGGTAACAACCACGAAGGGATGTCCGGGCTAAGGTTTGTCGGCGGCTCTGGTGGACCTTCCGAGGGGGCGGCGGTCTCTTGCGGCAAAGACCGTCGAGCTTCAGGTTCATGCACGGAGAGAATTGTAGGCAGCAGGGGCGATGCTAGATCCATGGGCTGTTCTTCATCGCCGTTCAGCAGGTTCCCTGTCCATACGGCTGATGCCGCCCTAGTCCCAGTCCCGGCCAGCGCGGGCGCGGGCTCCTCCAGCGCATCAGTCTGCACCGCGACGTCCTCGGCGGCTGCGCTGGCGTCGACCTTCGGCGGATTCGTCGCCTCCTCCAATTCGAGCCGCAAACCCGCAATCTCGTCGCGGAATTCACGCTCGCGTGACTCGGCGAATTCCCGCGTTCCACGAATCGCGCGCTTCAGTCCGTTCACCGTTTCCTTCAGCCTAGCGCAGAGTCGCGGTGGGTAAAACATTCAGGCAGAACGCGAACGCGAACCGTTTAGGCACTCACCTCTCACACTCTTTGTCACGTTCCTCATCGCCATTAGGTTCTTTGACAGCACCGTTCAGATTCTAGAACAATCAGGCGGTGATCAACAGCGGGAGAAGGACCAAGGATCAGCGATAGGCGGTTCACCTTGTCCTTGCCATCAGCCAATGTGGTTTTCAGCGCATCGCGCTCCGCGTGGAACGCGTCAATTTGCGACGAGAATAATTTGATCTCGTCGTTCAGGCGTTGCAGCTCTGGCCAGCGTTCGAGCAAGCTGTCAGGTGGGTTTGGCGCGGTGGCCGCGGCCGCGGCGAGGTTGAGCGGGGGGAGGGTGTAGGGCGAGGGGGATAACTGGGCCGAGCGGGCGTGCAAGCCTGGGCTGGGTGGGATGCTCACCACGGGAGATAGTTGCGAATGCACGTTTTGGACGGCAAGGTAGGTGTTACCGGCAGCGACTGCTTCGCTGGTGCGCATTGGCTCTGCAGGGGGAGACTTTCCTGCCAAAAGCGAACTTACAGCAGTAGAGACGAGGCTCGGAGACGAGTTGGCGCGGCGCGTGGAAGTGCTCTCGCTCAGCCGGGCATGTTCCAGCTGTTAACACGTAAGTAATCACCTACAAAGATAGAGGCACAGGAGAAGGACGTACGCGCTCAGATATGCCCTTTACCTCGGCTTCCAGCTCCCGGTTCCGCGACGCGGAGATTTCGAGGATCTGGACCGCTTGTTCCTGCGTGTACCGCAGTGGCTTGTGAGATGATGCTCGCTCCCGGTCGCTCGTTGTTGGTCGCCCTGGCGAACGCGTTTCCCCATGGAGTAATAGCTCGTCCTCTAAAGGCTCCGGTGGAGATGGGAGGTGGGCATCACGGGCTTCGAGCTCTGCCTCTCTGCGCGCGAGGCGGGCGGTGAGCGATAGGACCTCGGCCTCGGCGTGTTCGCGCGTCTGTGCGTGCGCGCGTCGCTCTGATTCGAGCTCGGACCTCAGCGATGCGACGATGGCTTTGGCGTAGTTCAGTGTGTCAGCGTCAGCTTGCTCTGCGTTACCGGTGGTGCGAGTGGGAATGGGGTCTGCGGAGAGATGTGTCATTTCAGGGGATACCCGACGGTTCGGGTAGGGTGACGAACCTAGAGGGGTCATCAATGTCAGACGACTGTGAGGCCACAACGAATAGTCGTTCGCAGCCTCAACTGGGATGAGATCAGATTAGGCAATGAAACTACGACGCCCGCAAGCTACGCCCAAGCACGTACGATATACCTGGACACACCTTTCTCTAGCACCACGGCCAGTGCCTCTCGTATATCATCCCAGTCCCCCTGGGCCTCCTTGATGTACCGAAGGCAGCGCTCGAGCTTGTCGCGCACCCGCTCGCCGCTGCGCCTCTCCGCTTCGATCTCCTTCCTGTGCGTGATGTGCAGCGAGTCGATGGTGTCGAGTGCGGATAGCAGCCTAGCGTGCATCTGAGATGCGTGGGTGGCAGTGAGCTGCAGCTGGAGCTCGAGTGCTGCGATCTGTAGGGACCCATCTGCCGTTGATGCGAGCATGCAGAGATTGATGGCTCACCTGCGCATCTCTCTCCTCGATCACCTTTGCGAGATCTTGATGTCGCTTGTTACCCATGCGACAGCCGAAGTTATGAGAATAATAGATTTGAGAGCAAAACGACCGAGACTGAATAGAACGAACGGTAAACTAGCCCTTGTGATGTGGTTCAGATATACACGTAAATAGGATAAATACAGCCCGAGAGTCTGCACGGGATGTGGAAAGGAGTTGCGCTCGCAAGAGTTGGGTGGCGGAGGGAACAACAGCGCTGGGGCCCCACAAAGGTCAACAAAGCGTGAGATTTCTTATTTGGCCGGCGCCGCGGTGATGCCGCGACGGTGGCGAAAGGACATGATCTGTCTCCACAACGATTGATGCGATGTATCGTAGTTGCGGTGAGAGATGGAGAAAGTCAAAGGAGATAATGGGGTCTTTAAGCGTGCGAGCTGCACACCATCTTCCTCCCACGCCTCAGTCATATTGACAACCACAAATGAAAGCTTATATCCAACAATAGATACAGCATTGCACAGGATCTTTACATCGATGATACGTATGAGGTGAATGCGGTACTTAGGTCTGCAGCTCATCTGTCAGTTCCCGCAAATAGGATATACCAACTGATTCTCCGGGCCCATCGAGCTTATCCCAACTGCGAAGCTCCGATACGGCCCATTTCCACTTCTTACGCACCAAAATATCACATCAGCAATCAAGGTTGCGGGCGTTGAGTAAGATGTACGTACAATGTACTTTACGAGTTCCTTATCGTGCGGCATGACACGCTTCCACTCGTCGGGAGGCCCGCAAAATATCCGATACGAGTCCAGCGCATATGGCCCGCTTCCAGGAAGGTGCGACGCACATGTAGGTGGATAGCGCTGTCTGACCTTCTCGAGAAGGCCCGTCTCGCTGGACAGCATCCGGGCCTGCACGTAGCACCGCGAAGGGCGCAGCGCGCCGGGCTGCGGGGGGTCGGACACGTATGCCTGCGATAGCGCTATCAGGCGCTTCGTGCGAGACTTTCCGAGCCCGAGGTGCGTGATGAGCCGTTCTAGAGCATCCGGGCTCGCTATAAATATCTCCACGAATAAGGGGCGCTGTCAGGCGTGCTAGCAGCGAAAGTGGCTATGCGAACCTTGGGCGAGAGCGGGTGCGGTGGGCCAGCGCGCGGTGAGGTCGAAGAAGGTCGGGACGGCGTGCCGTCCTGCGGTTTTGTTCAGGAGCGCGACGGCCACCAGGACTTTCCACGGGTCGTCCGCTACGTGTTCTGCAGGCAGACGGGCGCGGTGAACACGGAACTTACCTCGGCCATCACGGTTCTCACCTTGGATCAGAATTGGTTTTGCCATGTACAAATCATGATATGAGCTCACGAAGAGGTCATGGAACCGCCGAAAAGCCGCGTTCCGCAGCAACAGCTGGATCTCTTCGGAAACAGCATCAGCAGATGAGTTGGCACTCTCTGCCAAGTCATCACGCGCAATCACATCACTAGAATACGTTGATTCGGCTCGGATTCTGGCGCCAGAGTCCGCCGCCGAGAAGTAGCAAGAAGTTACGAGTGCGTCTGATATCTCCTTGTCATCACCTGCCGGTGTCGTGCCCTGGACGTTCTCGTGCCTTCGTTCGGTCTTATTGAAATACGGTGAGCAAACTGAACGGCGAGAAGGTGGGGTCCATTGCGCGTGGTGGCCAGAGAGGGCTGGTGGCATAAAGCAGGCGAACCTAATGAAGACAGGCGCTCGCGAGCGCCCGAGTAGTAGTAAATAGGCGCTGAGAAGGTGTTTCATGTGTGAATTCGATGTGCCTCAAGGCCTCGCTCGCGGATCAGACATCAGGATATCCTAGTATTCGTACACGCTTCTGAGCACTAGTACCTATCATAATCGACGGTGGACGTTCTACAAGGAATCCCTGCGGTGCCGCACAGCCGCATGCATAGCTCCACTCCACCGGTGCTCTGTAGACGCCTCTCATCCACATCCACTCTATTGATGTACGGAAGCGAACACATTCCGAGGGGTGACCATGCACAACGAAGACTCCCCACTGCCTCGTTCGCCGTTCGCTGAACGCGAGGGCGATGAACTTCCCATGTCATCCTAGGTCCTAGGAACCCCGAAGCCAGGTAAGGTTCACGTCCTGTTCGAATTGGGCCTCCAGGCTTGCGCATCACCTTTCCGCTTCCTTGGAGCAGTGATGCTGATGCTATCTGTAACAGGGAGACAAAGAGCAGGCGATGCTCGGATATCTCGTACTCTGCGCCGCGGCCGCCTTGACTACCACCAATGCTCTGGCGATCGACCGGCGTGTGGTCAAGACGATGGCTGATACAGGGAAGAGTGGCTGACTTATCTGATATGCAGGCGATGCAGACACTGGACACGTTTCGTGGACCACACAGCTAATGCGATCGCAGCATTTTTGGTATTGACCCCGTCCAGATATCGCGACGCAGAGGCATGGCATCACACCACACAGCTTCTGGAATGAATAGCGAAGGTGGACTGGGGTACGTTTCCCTTGTGGTGGCAACAGAGCTTCCGGAGAGAGACCCTGTCCGAGCAGTCAGGCAATGTGTACTTGAGACACGAATCATAATAGAACCACCAATGGAAAGCAAATCCCCGGCCGCATGATATTTCCAGGAACACACGGATGAAACGCGCAAGTGGACGGATATCCAGTGCCAACCGCACATGGTGAAGACGAGAAGCCTCGCCAGGCAACGCATTCCAGACATCCATACCACTGTCCCGCGCGCGCTGCAGGCAGAAAGCATCGCCGGGATCGTTCATGCAATGAACGTGGAATCGCACGGTAACGATGTCAACGGATCGCCGACACCGTTCTGGGCTATCACGCTCGGATTAGCGACCATAGAGCGGCGTCGTCTCGTCGAACGGGCGCAAGCATCGTGAGACTCGTTCGGCCAACGGCCCCATCTTCGCTCATGATGCAGCACGAATCCTGTTCCCTCGCCCTACATCTCATTTGCGGGGGACCAGGACCTCCACGCACCGATACGAACAGAGCAAAATTGCTGATACCCACGCGCATGGGTGCGCATCATACGAACAGAGATGATAGATATGCTTGAGGCGACGGCATGATGTTCCCGCTTCGGCCAGGGCGCTGACGGCGTCCCTTCCGCGATGTCGCTCAGGCTGCAGTGTGGACGCCGGTCAATGTTGCGATGCCGTACGCTCAAGACGGGTAAATGTAGACGTACGCTGATCCTGCTCCAGGCCGAACAATGCCCGCGGGCATGCCTGGAAGCGGACAGCGTCGGCAGCTGAGACCGCCGTGCATGCATTAGGCGAGATTTAATTGTACAGGATTGATTGGTTGACGGAACTTTGTTGCAGAGGTTCCTCGCCTATCATAGACGTGCGAGAGTAATTGTGCACGATAAACTCTAACGGGAAGAGCTTGGTATCATCACTGCGAAATTATTGCAGCTGTGGGTTGGCATGTACCTTTTTTCGATTCTGATGGCATCTGGGGATCAAATTTCCGCCGAATAATAATGTCGAGCACGCTGTTGCCGCGTCAAGTCACGGAGTCCATCTGCGCTGACCGCGGACATACCACACAGAACAGAATTAATTATAGTACAGACAGCATTAGCGACGACGGTTTCAGCAAATTGAACGACTTGCGCGGAAGCCGGCGTCAAAGGGACGAGCACCCCCGGAAGACAGATGGTATCACCATCAAGGTTCGATCTGTTCATCCTTGTGGCACTGAAGAAGACGCGCTGAAACGGCTAGCTTGTGATGGACATCAGTGGGAGATTCCATCTGGGAACACATCGCAGAATGGTGAGTTCCCTATCACGATAGCCATGGCCGCGGCATTGCCTTTGTTAACACAGGGCGTGCGCCTCGTGTTCGATGGTGGAGATGATTTCCAGCGGACCAAGCGGTGCATCAGCCGGCATCAGAGAGGCGAAAAGACAGCACGTTGATGCCGGAGCTCCGCCGGTGAATCATGATGCTGAGAAGGTGAGCAGCGATGCAACGGCTGCGACTGAATGCGTGGGGAGGCGGCGCGTGCTAAGCGGTTCGGAGACGCGGCCGCATCAGGTGGGCATGAAATGGAAGGTCTATGGCCGGGGTGGACGGAAATCGGTCGCTATCTTACCGAGAGGGGGAGGAGAGTGCGGATTAGCGGACCAGAGTGGCGGGGCATGGGAAGAGGGAGGGCACGGGATTGGCCAAGGAGAGGGATTGGATCAGTCATTCAGGCGGCAGTGATGAACGCAGGATTAGTGGACGTGAGAAGAGTGTGATCAAATGCAGACCGCATTCGGAGGCAGTTCACCTTCCCTTCACAAAGGCAGCCTTGGCTCAGTCGAGCGGATCATGGGACGGCACGCACTTATCGCAGCGCGTGTGGCCGCTGGGGCGGCGTGTGCAGAGAGGCATAATGAACATCTCAGATCGAGCACGACGGAATCTGCATTCAGGGTCGTTGTGATAAGGTGATGCCGGCCGTTGATGGTGCTCGCCGGCTTCTCGCTGCTGCCGCGTGCCCACACACCGTGCATTGGGCGAGGCTCGAACGGCGGACGCAGGCGGGGGCGGGGTCGGGGTCGCTGTTGCTGCTGAATGATGGCCGAGGGGTGGCCGAGGGATGCGTGAGAAATCGCGGAGATTGAGGAATTATGGCGGCGCGTAAAGGGGATGATGGGCTGCCTGATATAGACTGGAAAGTTGATGTCGCTCGACCTCCCGGATCCTGGTTTGGGCGATTCAAGTCCTCCTCATCTCAGGCCTTTCCCGGGCGCCCGCTAGTCTTCGTGATCCTGCTCCCATCTCCCATCGTCTTCCCGCACAGCTCCTGACCGGACAGCCTTGAGAAATGCTCAACTGGTGCGCCTTTGCATATATATACCCCCATCAGTTCCTCCCTCTGACGCCACTTCCTTTCAGCGAGCCCGCCCGCTCTCCTCCCCCGCCCCTCAACGTCCCCAGCAGGCCAACAACTCCCCCGACCCCCCGCCAGCAGAACTCGTCCCCGCCATCGGCCGAGCACCCTGTCACGACCACCGCCTCTCCAACCCAGAAGCGCGTCAAGGTCGAGCCTGCTCCGCCTCAATCTACCCCCTACTCGGGATATCACGATCAGCGCCAGTGGGTTCGTCGCTTCGTACATTGTTCCTTTCACCCGATGATTGATCGTTCTGATCTCCCATATTCGCTCTTAACCCGCCCTCACTCACAGCACTACCACCACTTTTACCCGCCCCACGACTATTCGAGTATGCCCCATCGCGTCCACGGTGCTGAAAGAACCTCTGCGTTCGTCCACTCCCCTCGTCTCTCCTTCCTCGACCGCTCTGACGCGCCCCCCTTCGCGTTCAGTCACCACCCCGAAGACTCGTCCCACTACGGACGCATGCACCAGCAGCCCACCCCGCCGCCAATTGCCACTCTCCATCACTCGCCTGCCATGTCCACGTCCTCGCTTGCGAGTTCGTCCATCTCTCCCTCCCCTCCCGTAAGTTTTCTGCTGGCATCCCCGAACGTGTGCTCACGTGCATCTTAGGTCTCCCAGCCGTCCACGCCGTACTACCAGCACCCGGCCCCCATGCACCAGGCGCCGGGTTATCCGTACAACCCGAATTCGAGCATGAGCGCGCGATACGCATCTGATGCCCACCAGACCTCTCCTTACGCGCCCGCGCCACATTCCGGCCAAGTTTCCACGCGTGCCATCCGCCCGTCCTACGTCGCGTCTCAGCCTTACCCCGGTCAGGCTAACTATATCATCCACACCGATGACGCTGCGACCAAGCTCAGCGACAGGGTCCGCCGCAAGTGCTACAACTGCCGAACAACCGACACGTCCACTTGGCGCCGCTCGAGCCTCACCCCCGGTAAAGTGGTACGTACTCGGCGCCCGATCATCCCGGCGTCCTTTTTCACTGATCCTGGCTTGTCCATCAGCTGTGCAACAAGTGTGGTCTCTTTGAGCGCACGCACTCGCGCCCCCGCCCGGAACAGTTCCCCCACAAAAGAGGTCCCGTCGTGACTGCTTCCTTCAAGTCGTCCAGGACGCCCCCTCCGTCGTCGCGCCTTCCGCCCATCTCGACCCACCATATGCACGCGCTCCCGCCGCACCACGCGAACCACCCGTCGCTTATGCCCCGCGCCGACGCGATGCAGCAGCAGCAGGCTCCGCCCCCTCCGGCCCTGCAGCAGCCGCAGCAGGGAAACTACCACAACGCGAGCACGCTGCCCGAAATTCGCTCGCTGCTCAACACCCCTGCGACGGGCTCGCCGTCGTCGACGCACGAGACGCTCGACGCGCAGAACCGGCCAGCCTCGCCAGCGCAGTCGGGCACGCCCTCGGGTGGGAGCCCGAGGTCCGAGCGTCGTGATTCGTACCGCTCCACCAACTAAGCCGACGTCGGTCGCCTCTCCCTCGCTCAAAGATTTATTTATGTGTATTTCTCGCCCTCAATTACCGAAATGGCCGGATCGTTCTAGAAAAGATGCTGGTGGTTGCCGAAAGGACGCTGCTTGGTAGGGATTTGCTTGGTCGGGGCTGCGCCTCGTATCGTCTTGGGATGCGTAAAGTCACGTTGGCACGTACCGCTGCGTTGCATGCAATCTGCCGCCGCCGCCGCACGTTATAGTCTATATGCTCTTTCCTGTATCATTTCTTGTGCTCCTCGTTGTATGGTCTTTGTTATGTTTGCTCGCCAACCCGTCCGCTCCGATTCGTTGTATATCTGGCCAAAAATACATCAAGTGGTTGTAGGAGGAACGAGGCGCGTGCAATATCAGCTGTTGCGGCGTATGGATGTCCCGAGCACACACGCGTGCACGGGCGACCGTGCGAGAGCGATTAGAAATGCGCGGACGAGGGTATGATGCGACGTTCCCATCGTGCTGATGCGCCATACACGATGTCGTTCGATGCGGAAATTCGCGTGCGAACGCAGGCGGCGTCCGACGGATCTGCTTCCAATAGCGAGCCCGCTATCCTGGAGCATTAAGGCCGTGACGTGGAAGCACCCGGCTCTGCGATTACGAGGTGCTGTCGCCATATTGATATGACGAACGGAAGCACATGTTCCTTGTTCCTGGAATCATTAGTTGAGTCCACATTCTCGCTCCATAGCGTCTATTGAATAATGCGAAGCAGGCTAGCCCTTCCGATAGGCATGCGCCCATGACCGCCCGTCGCCGTATTCAGGACGGTACCACGCAATCACCGAGGGCGAGGTCGCATGCACATGGCATGACCGCGTCAACGTAATACTACGGCCAGTTGTGTCAAGCAGCGTATGGTCATGACGATGCAGTGCTGATATTTGAATCGGCCACGGGGGATCGTCGGAGGGCTGGCTTACGAACCGCAGCCACTCGAATAAGCTTCAATATTGGCCGACCTTTTGCGATAGCCCGGACGGCCTCTTGCATACGTTTGGATCGGGGTGATGAGCTGCGATTTGGCAGCATCGATGCCGCCAACCGTTGGCGTAAGTTTCCGAGTCGGACGTCTTGTGGACCGCCCACGGGACAGAATCTGTATACTGCAGCCGCCGGACACCCCGCGATATTAGTGTGTCTTGGGTTCTGGGCTCTCACACATGAAGATTAGCCAGGCGAGCGAGAGTTCGATGTCGACTCTGCCACTTCGAACCCTCGAACAGAATTCCCTAAAGAGGGTTCTGGGATCTAGGCCAGAAGGAGGTGACCATCACGGCTGTATGATAGCGTCAGCGCTTAGAGGTGCCGGCTAGCGCAAGATGCCAACGCGATTCTCCCGCGTTGGATGAAGCAGATCAATTGACGCTCGTATCGGTAATGCCTGTGAATGATGCACTGATCTGGCATAATGTCATGTCCGTTCCAGGCAGGCTCGTCCTCTGCACCCGCGTCCTATCCGAAAGGCGCGTCAACTTCTCAGCAAGAAATGCATCGTCTCGGTCTTCCAGTCAACACTCGCTAGTCATTCGCCGGCGCCAACTGGGTATAGAGTCACTCACCGAGCGGTTCCATGCCAGTGCCTGCGTCGGCACTTGCATTGCGCGATATCCAGTGTGACGCGGCGGGGAAGCTGACTGATTCCTCTGCTGCGCGCGTTGAAGTCGTCATGGTTGGTGGACTGGGCGCTAGAGATGCAAGTCCACTTCTCAACTGACCACAGTCGAAACGCAACGAACAAAATGTCCCGAGCGCTCATAGAGGAAATTTTCTTCAGTTCGTACTTCTGGCTTCAGTCAGGGCCAACGTTCGAATGGTCGCCTCCTCAATGGCTGAGGCGGTTAGATTTCCCAGCAGGTTTCAAGGGGATGGCTTCTGGCAGGCATTCTTCCAGAATAGTGGTCTCCGTCGGTCTTTGTAAACATTGATATCTTGCGATGAACGCCACGCGTTGCTGATCATCTCATACACGATACTTTTTTGTAGAAGCGGGCTTGAACCAGGTTCGTCTGGGCATCGTTCCGTATCAGATATCAGCATCACGGTCAATGCGAAAGTTGGCCGCAAATGATAAATAGGCATAAACTGCCAACAGACGTGCGAACGACCGGCGTGAATACGGAACACTCTGACCTAGAGCCATTCGACGCCGTACTATCAATGATTACGCATCGTTGCAGCCTTCCAGCCATCAAAACCATGCTTGACACGGGCGATGGCCTGGCTATGGCGCCCCAAGAGCGGTCCACGTTCTGTTGTTATCATCAGCAGTGAGTCATACATTTACGCAGCCACAAACTTTGAAGAACCATGATGAAAGGGAGGAGCTAGCTATGGCATCGCAAGAGCGGCCCACGTTCTGTCATTATCATCAGCAGTGAGGCACGCATCTACACAGCCATAAGTTTTCGCAGGCCCACGATGAAAAGGAGGAGCTTCTCACTAAATGCGCTGTTCAGGAGCAGGTACGTGACCATTACGGCAAACTGCGCAATTCATCAATGTGAATCAGCAGCTCGGCCTTCTTTATGCAGTTATCGGGCAATGTCACGCTCCGAATGTGCATGTATTACCCCGACGGGATCTCGCCGGTTCCCCGGGGGTACAGACGCGTCCATACGGGTAACCTGGTATACTCGTTTGACGGGGTGATCGAGGGTATTGACTGAAGAGTAGTCTCTCGTACCTTGGAATGCTGCTGATTGGGTCAACCAGAATAGCCTCTTGGTCAGTTCCCTGGGCTGCCGGACATACCACGACCGTTAGCATGGATGCCAATTGCACGTATGAGTCAGATGAGGTTCGCTGCACAGAACACATTCGCAAGTTGTCATGCGATCGATCTAATAGTGCGTGGTTCGCGGATTACGCTCTCTTGGCTCGTAGATTTCAGTTTTCGATAGACTGGCGGCAGTGAATGACTCACGTTCCTTATGCGGGTGTTCTATCATCAGTGTAGAACTCTATCGGCGGTATCGAAAGCATCATTCGCCGAGCCAAAGAGATGGAAAGGAGCTGTTCGTGATGCTGTGATTGGTCATATTCATTGCATTGACAGGAGTTATATCACCTGTCGATGCTCAGAATGCGATTCAATCACGAGCCTGTCCCAGTCAATTGAAAAGCGTGCCTGTATGCACAGTTATACGGTATGAAGAGTCGGCCGATAGCTGAGGGGGGCGATAAGGGCGTTCCGCTGCATCCGTTTAAATTAAAGAGCCACGCATTCATTGACAGTACGTTAGATTGGAAGTGCTAACTAGAAACATACACGAGAGTAGCGCAAATGTGCCAGGATCTGATTAGCCGCTCCCCAGTAGAAAGTCGGAAGCAAACGGCATGCCCAGTTCATGGCTTCCGAAGAATCCCTCTGCTCGATCATAATCCCAAGAAAAATTGGGACCGAAGGCCAGCCGTTTCTTGAAGCACGAAAACTTTCCAGGCCAGCTTCGGGTCGAGTTGACTGTGGAGAACTCGTAAACGCCAAGGGCGCCTTTTTATAGTCGCGCTCGCGGGGTGGTCCGTGCGCGGGAACCGCGCACCGTTATATAGGCGCTTAGTCTGGCGTTTGTCTTTTCATCGAAAGTTATCACCTTGCGGGTTGATATTTGGGGTGCCCTTCCTGTGCTGCGGCCTTTTGGCTCAGCGAATACGGGGGAACCTTGAACCGTACGTGAGGGAGAACGAAACCCTCCATCTCAAGATCGTGCCGACGCATGCTCAAGTTGACACGGCCCGTAATGGAGGGATACTCTAGTTCCGCACCGCTTCAGATTTTGTCACACAATACATCATGTTTTCCACGAACGTGTTCCTTTGATATTGTGAACCTCGCGAGAACGCATTGTCGCACCATCATCAACATCTTCAGCTTCCCGATGAGTACGATGCATGACATGCATCTACGATCATTTCGGTAAGCATCTATGAATGGGATCATTTGTCAGATGAATCGATGATATATCAGTCTATTCCAGCGGTCCAAGCAACCCAAGTGGAGCACAGCGCTACTTTCATATGCAAATGAGCTTGGAACACTGATCTGATTTTGAGCATATTTGGCAGATTGACTGTAAAATGAGATCGAAGCTAGCCAATTTCAACTGTTAGTCCCGACTGCATCAACGTAACTCATCACTATCACAAACAGGATTGATTCCACCAGTCAAAATCTAAGTTTCATGCGGTGATAGTGCTCTTCCAACAACTCGTAATCAATTGCTTGACAGAGATCTCAGGGCAAGTTGTCATTCAGTTCGTGGAACAGTCCGATCCAAACGTAGTGCTCCTTGAAGTAGAAGCTGTTCGAGCGCAAACGATATCTACGGATGAGCCAATCCAAATGCTCCCGTCATACATATTCGTACTCTTTGAGACTCAAATGCCTACAGCGATTTATTAAAACGCCCCTCGGACTGGCAGATGATCAGTCTACTTGTCTAGAACGACGGAGCAATTGTCCAAAATAGCATCATCGCTCCAGTGAAAATACCGAGTCATCCCCGAACACGAACACGGTCGACGCGACGCCCATGTATTTCAGACTCCTTCCCAAGTTCTTCCGAGGTGTACTTACAGTCTCTCGCAAACGCCATGCCGCGCTGCCTTATCCAGACGTGCATGTCTAGTCATCATCTGGCACCATACACCGTTACCAGACGTGAACCTCAATACCTTGCTGCTCTCGGTTGCTTGGCGTCGGGCTGCTGACGACTGGAACCCAACCCATTTCTATTACGTGTGCTCTTCCAGGAACGAGAGAGGACTGGGTGTCAGATTAGACGGAAGCTGCTCAACAAGTTCCACAATTCGCTCACGTCAACGTCAAACACCTCGTTTGGTGAACTTCATCCAGTCACCTGTCCTCCTTAACGATAGCCTGCTTTCATTACACTCCTACGGTCTCATACCTCCATTCCGATGCATAGGGACACTCTGTCACACAAGACGTGCGCAGCGCGCTCAATGTCTATGCTCTCTCGTTTTCTCGACAACTGGTCTTGGCCGAGATTCTACGCACTGTATGGCATACACCGTGGGCCAGGTCAGTGATTCTGCCGCACATTTTTCCCTTCCCGCTGATTCCGAAACCATCACGGATGTGCTTTTGGAAGTGCGTCTCAGCATGACCTCGTCGCACTAGCCAGGCTAACCTCGTCTTCGTTGGCATTACTGCTCGTACTTCTAGTAGTACGGCTGGCCGACTAGATACCATGGGGAAAGGCCCTCCTTGGCCGACTTGGACGCTGAGAAATGATTAATGAGCGCTGAGCTTCATTGTTTCCCCGTCCGATGTCGGAGCAGTGCGAATGCCCACTCAGATGATGGTGCATAGGACGATGATCGCATATCAATCCTCCCGATTGACCTCGATCGATGATTCGTCCTATGCATCTCCGATACAAGTCGGTACATACCCCGGTCTTCCTCCGCGTTGTCGGACATACTATACTACACGGAGCAACTCAACATATACGTTCTGCCCACTCGCGGGACGGGCGTGCCTTTGTACTCAGAGTGATCGTCCTGTTTCTCGGCATATTCCGGTGCAGGACCAGGTCATTTCTGCACTCGCGGCCGTTTTCGCGCACTGCTTGTCGAATGTTCGATTCACGTCCCACGTTCGTTTCATCTCTAACGTCAATGGTCGAGGATACAAGATGGTGCCTCACTTGGACACTGTACATACTACTTGTTCACGCAATACCATGATCTCTTCAGCGAGAGATCATCTTGCGTGATGAATGAGCTTAGCATACTCTTGACGGTATGTACACAATCCCCATCAACGTCTCCCGATCACTCAATGAAATGTCCTATCAAAATATATCGCTACTTTCTGAATCGACGATCCATTTCAGCAGTGGTATAACAAAAAGATAGGCATACAAAGCTCAATGTCTCATTCAACGAAAACCCGTGGTATTACACCGCACGTCATGGCATACCCTCCCCCTCCTTGGTATCCGGCAAGAGGAATCAAACACACAAAATCAACATGCTCGCAGCTCACTGCTCGCTGACAAAGACAGCAGCCATGCCCATGCCAGAGCCAATGCACATACTGGTAACGAAAATCTTGCCGCCGGTCTGCTTTGCAATGTTGAGACCAGTGACAATCTGTCTGGCACCGGCTGTGAAAAAGTGCTAGTCAGCCTACAATAGCTAATGTTCGGCAACACCGGACACTCACTCGAACCAAGCGGGTGCCCTATCGCAATCGCACCGCCCCACACGTTCACCTTGTTCACGTCGATGCCAAGCTCGCGCACGACATACACCGCCTGGCTCGCGAACGCCTCATTGATCTCAAAAAAGTCAATGTCCTCCTTCTTGAGCCCGTTTTTCTCCAGCACTTTCGGAATCGCGTACAGCGGGCCGACGCCCATGATCCGCGGGGGGACGCCTACAGCCGTTGCTCCAATGAACTTGCCGAGGATGGGTAGACCCAGGCGCTGTGCAACAGAGCGGCGCGCCAGGATGACGGCGGCGGCACCATCGGACACTTGCGAAGCATTGCCTGTAACGCGTCTGTCAGCTGCGAGCCCACTAACGATATAGTCACCGAACGAACCGGCATGTGTGGTGCCATTCTTCGCGAAGGCAGGCTTGAGCTTTGACAGGCTCTCCTTCGTGACGCCGTCCCGCACACCATCATCATAGTCCACGACGATTTTGGACTCCTTGTCCGTCTTCGGGTCGATCCACGGCGCGGTGATGGGTGTGATCTCTGGCACAAAGCGGCCCTCCTTCTGCGCCTTCGCAGCCTTCTGGAATGAAGAGGCGGCGAATGCGTCCTGCACATCGCGCGAGATACCGTATTCGTTGGCAACGTTCTCGGAGGTGATACCCATGGGGATAAGGCAGTCTGCAGCGAGCTGGTTCGAAAGGACCTCCTCGGAGAAGCCATCTGGGTTGGCGGCCGCGTTATAGCCGAAAGTCATCGACTCGACGCCAGAACCTACGGGGGAACAGAGATTGTCAGCACGAGAGACCGGAGGCTCGCATAGCCACTCACCGATACCAATGTCAATCTGTCCTGAGATGATATGAGCGGCGATAGTGTTCACAGCAGCGAGACCGGATGAGCATTGTCTGTTGATGGTGACGACAGGAGTTGTGACTGGAATGCCTGCGTGGAAGCCAGCCATGCGAGCAGCGTTCGCGCCACCTCCTGGTGGGAGGACATTGCCGACAGTGACGTCCTCAATAAGTGAGGGGTCGAGGCCAATGTTGGTGTAGGCCGCGCGAAGAACACCAGAGAGAATCTCCTCCGGACGGGTATCCTTGAAAAGTCCCTTTTTCGACTAAAGGCAGACTAAATATGAGCAGTCGTCGCCGACCTGAAGTGAAGGTACGCGCACCTTTGTGATCGCAGAGCGGACGGCAGAGACGATGACGACATCATTGTCGTGCTTTGCAAGCGCCCTTGCCTTTCCCGACGAGGGGATGAGATTGGAGACTGCCTGTACAACGGAAGACATGGTAGTGATGGGAGAGACGACAGGGACGAGGAAACAAGACGAGCTGAGGGACCCGTTGATGTACCAGCTCGGCTTTGGGGACGGCCAATCACATGCCTCGGTCTTCCCCGGATGGCATCGCCGAGCACGTGTTTCTCCCCGCACTCGCTTTTCGACTCTCCTTCGACGAGTTCTAGTTTCATTCGCTTTGCTTTATTTCGACTCTCCTTCGACGAGTTCAAACACCTGCATGCTGCTGCTTTGTTGCTGGACTCTTTCGAGGCCTCGATACGCCCACAACTCTGACTGCAACAGTGGTCGGCTTGCAAGTCGTTCTCAACACCGGCACATGATTGCTCCGTATGTCTCACAAGCCCGGCGGACGTAACACTGAACGACTCATTGGGGTCATCTGCCGCTGAGCGTCTATATACTTTGTAAGATCTGTTCTCCGACTCCCTCGGTCGTCCGGTGGCCTGTAAGCTGGACCTGTTCCTGTGATTTTATTCAACGTGTTGGGTGCGACTGCGCTTCTAACATGATCACGCGAGCGTTTGTGGAGCAGCGAACGCGTCGCTGCTCGATGTTGATCTCAGGTGATTCACTGGTACGTGATAGCCTTTCATGCGATCGTAACTTGTTCCTGATTAGCGTATCGATTTGGAATGCTGTGCCGTGGCATACGTTCTCCCGTTGTTTCGACCTCCCGCCATGCAGTTCTTCGAGCAGGCCTTCATCAGCGAGAGGGAGAGGGAGAAATAGAAGGATCTCAGCACGCTGACGTATTGAATACCAGGTGATACGTAGCAGGAACATGTTTCTTTGTTGGCCCTTCCCTTGCTCTGCTCGAGGTTGCGGTGCCCGGTTGCTGTCGACCGCACGGGCGAGCAAGAGCTCGCCATGCCTTCAGCGATTACGGACGGGCTACACGGGCCTGCACGACCATTGAGGGAACTCCATCTATTGCTACGTGTGAGCTTTCTCGCCAGTATAGACCGCGAGGCTAACAATTACTATCGCACGGCAGGGGTATCCCTCACGCAGCCAAGCCACTTACCCATTGCACCCATATGTGACTCACCTGTGTGCGGCCCTCTTCATCCACAGCCCCCCGGTTAAACAAGCAACAAGCTGGAGTAGAGGTGATGAAAGTCTTTGGTCCATCTAGTTGTTTGTTATGAGCCTCATGCCTCAACTTGCTCTCTAACATTGCAACTCTTCATTCACAGCCTCCCCCCCTGGATACATGTCGATTTCACATTCATGTTATGTCACTGCTCACCGATCAATACCAACTATGAGGTGGCCATTCAATATTCAGCAACCGTACATTCATCTTCACTGTCCCACAGTTTGTCTGCAGTTTGATGTGCTATGAAATTTGCCTGCCACGGCTTGAACAGCTTATTGCATGGCATAGTGTCTTCTATACCTTCATTTATAACAATGCAAGCTGTTATTTCAATGACTTAGTACTTCTGATTGGTGAGATAACCGGTCACATATATATGGCAGCAAGGACTGGCCTGCTGCACATCCCGAAGCTAACGGACCTGGTGCACATATCTCGTGTGTATTACAAAGTGCGGCGTATGGTGTGTGTATCCCGTCGACTTTGTGACCTCTTACGACTTACGACTTACCTAGGTGGTGGTTCAACAGGCGCGTAGGGGCGTCAGCCCATGGCATGGGCGCTGATCCCTGCCGGAGAGCTTTGGCTCTGTTTGCAGAATGCGGAGGTTTACAATCTGATCCCTCGTACTTTTGTTCCTTCGCCGTCGTTGTCGTTTCCACTATCATCGTGATATAGCTCGGTATCGTTTCGCCGTTCTAGCTCTTTGCCCAACCGCGCTTTGTGGTTCTGCAGCGGCGACGGTCCTCCGCGTATCGGCCAGCCCACAGAGGGATGGGTCGACCTTGTGTTCCCGTCAAGTTCAATACGAAGCCTCAGCCTAGGCCCCCGCAATCTCAATATTCTCATTCACACGAGGTAATCGCCATCGTTTTCAAGTACTCGCTGTCACTAGAATGGCCATTGGAACACCGCTTCTAGCGTGTTCAGAAAGCGTATGCAGTGCTACGATCCAGAAAGACGAAAGAGGCCAAAAAACCAATCAAGCTAATCAAAGACATCGATCAGGTCAGCCAAGAAAGCTGGATTTCTGAGTCGTTGCTCACCGTAGAGACAACAGGCATTGCGCAAAGTCGAGAAAAGCAAGGGGCTTTCATCCGATCAAGAGGTTAAAGAACCAACCAAGCTAATCAATGACATCGATCAGGTCAGCCGAGAAAACTGGATTTCTGAGTCGTTGCTCACCGCAGAGACAACAGAAATTACGCAAAGTCGAAGAAAGCGAGGCGCTTTCATTCGATCAAGAGGTTAAAGAACCAATCAAGCTAATCAATGACATCGATCAGGTCAGCTAAGAAAATTGAATTTCTGGGTCGTTGCTTACCGTAGAGACAACAGGCATTGCGCGAATTCGAAGAACGCAAGGTACATTTATCCGATCAAGCCGTGTATCTCACAACGCTGCGACAACTCTGTGTGGTCTACAGTGAACTGCCGAAGTCAATATTACTGCCGGCGGAATCAATAGAAAGCGGAAAACTTATTGCAAGCGGGGGCATGTCAGATATCTATTCCGCAGTGTTGCGGCAAAGCAGTTCGCGACGAGTAGTTGTGGTAAAACAGGTTCGGGCTTATCCACAAGAATTGACCAAGGTTTGTGGTGATCGTCCTATCGAATGCACACTTTGATGCAAAAAAGGCTGCATGACTGCGCTTTGCAGAGTTTCTATAAAGAGGCGGCTGCTTGGAGTCACCTCAACGATCCGTATATCGTGCCGTTTCTGGGAGTGACTACCATCAAATCCCGATTGGGCCTGGTTATTGACTTTATGGAGCACGGTACGCTGAAGTCATACTTAGTAAAGCACCCGAAAAGTGATCGACATCGATTGGTAAGCAATCTTTCATCGGGTTAAATTCTCCCAAATGCCTAACTAATCCTATGCAGCTTCTTGAGGTCACATTGGGACTGCACTATCTGCATGAGCGCAAAATAGCTCACGGAGACCTGAAGCTAGTATGTTTATACAAGATGTCCATCTTATTGACCGCTGACAGCAATATCGTCAGAATAACATCTTGATAGATAGCAGCCGCTCCGCACGCCTAGCCGATTTTGGACTGGCATCGATAGTTGACCTCACAACTGATTCACGCTTGAGCCATCCGCCCGTGCGGTGGACCGCACCGGAGATTATCGACCCAGAGAGCGCCGGTTTAGAGCATGATCAAGCATCCCTACCAGCTGATATCTATGCTCTGGCTATGGTGATGTGGGAGGTGAGATCGCGGTGGCTCAGTGTCCCGTACAATGTGATAGACGTTTTGTAGACGTACACCGACAGACTGCCTTTCGACGACTGCAAATATGACGGCTGTGTCATATGGAAGGTCACCAAAGGCATCCGCCCTCAGCGTCCCAATGATGAAGAGAGTACAGAACGAGGGGTCTCTGATGCTATCTGGGTGCTGATGGAGGAGTGCTGGGAACAAGACAGAAATCTGCGTCCATCGGCTGACGAGGTTATCAATCGCTTAATTCAGATCCGCTACCCACGATGGGAGTCTGCATACTCTGAGGTCGATGATATCGCGGAGAAATGGACAGCAGCTGTCGAAAGCTGGCGTGCGTCGCTTGCAATCCAGGCAATGCGCACGAACATACGATACACTGTAGACCTATCCCGTCGTTTTCCGTAGTCGGCGGCTATGGCGCGCAATTCGAACCGTTTTATTTCATTGATCCCATACACCTTTACTGTACTGCGCAGAGATGCCATGGGACACTTGTATTGCCTCTATTCCGGACTATACTTACGTTTCACATGTAATTGAACTAACCTCCGTCCCTACTTCCCGTCCTACGATACACCTGTACCTAGCCACACCCTCGACCGCCTTCGGCGGTATATAAATTGTATCAAAAAATGAAATTGAACTATTACCCCATCGTTGAACAAAATGCTTCGAGAGATGGCAGTTGCTGCTCAGAAAATCTAGTGATAAGTTTGATTGTTCCCAATCAGCAAGAGTCCGAAGCACTATGTACGGCAACGTGTGCTACAGCTACTAGTTAGAGAAGCTCCAGCCGTCGAAGGACTTGTGCTGTTAGTAAGAGATGACCTCGTAACTTCATTGATCAACGTCAACGTCAACGTCCATTCATAAATTGTCCAATAACTTACATGCAGTATATGAGCAGTAATGACCTGCGACACGTCCTTATATAACATACGACGGGAGATTTGCGATGCACCGAATTTCAGCACCCAACACCGCTGACAAAATGTGCAAGTGATACGAGCGCAGTCACAACAAATACCCATGGTGTAGCGTATTGCAGCACATTTGCAGCGCATGTGGCCCGAACGACATGACATCTCTGCAGACCAACTCGATGATGGGTTACGGCGATGGCGCATACGACGCGGGGGGGGGGGGGGGGGGGGGGGGGGGGACGCAGGTTCGGGCGGAGGAGTGGCATATATGCCTGGATTGTTCGGCTGTGCGGGCGAGGGAAAAGGCCGGGACGGATGTGTCTAGTGCGGGACGTGGTACTTCGAGTTACGCACGGAAGGCTTTGTGAGCCGATTAGCCTCTGGATGAGAAAACGGGTCTATGCAAACAAAAAGACGCATCACATTCTAGTCCTATGGGCGAGAAAAGATCAAACCTTACACACTTTGGTTTTTGTACTCCTTGTCCGCCTTCCTCTGCTCTGCCTCTGCTAGCTTCTGGTCCCTCTCCATCTGCTTGCGCACTTTCTCCTCTGCTCGATTTCTCTCGTTACTCTTACCCTTCGTCCTCTCTCGAAGCACGCCCATTTCATAATCCGTTAGAAGGGCCGGATCATTGTCCACATACGAACTGGGACCTCCACCGGTGATCCACCCGAGCTCGGGGCCAGGATCCTTCACCTCAGCCTTCGGCTGAAGCTCAGGCATGTCGATCTTGCTAAGGTGCACGAGCAGGCTACTTGGAGGCGCGTATGCACTCTGTTTGTCCTTGGGGCGGGGATCGTTCAAATTGATTCGCCGGGGGCCTTTGGACTTCTTGTCCGCGTCATACGAAACGTATTGATGGAGTTCTTCATCATCAAGGCCTGACAAGGTCCCGTGAATGAGAAAGCAGAAAGACAAATCGTTCAAGACATACCAGACTTATACCGGAGGCGTTTGGTCTCTTCCACGACGCGCAATACTTTCGGCACTTCCGCAGGAGATGCTGAGCGTACGGTCACGAAGAGCATCGCTTCATCCTGTGAACCGATCCATCTTAGTTGTACAAGCTTGTCACCACTAAATTGGTACGAACACTAAGCAGCTGCTGTGCAAACTGCGCGTATTCCTCGACACTGCCTTCTTCAGTCACCTCCAGCTCGTTCGCCTCACCCTCGCCCTGCAAAGTACGCAGCATGTGCATCTCAGCGATGCGCTCGATCCCAACGCGCGGTGGAGGTTTCGGCGGCAGCGTGGGTACTGCATCTTGCGAAGGGCGTCCAGTGCCGAACCCGAGGGTGCGCAAACTGGTTAGCGTGGACGAAGTTGCAGGCGGTACTGACGTGGACATGGCAGCATCTTCGGCGCGCGGAGCGTGGTAAGCGTCGTTGACGTCTTGGAATGTGAGCAACGCGGTCAGAATGATAATCTCGAGGCCCTTCCTATCATCTATATCGAAACTATGTATCGGATTAGACGATCTTTCGATGATGTGCACGAGTTAGAAGACGTGCCGATTCAAGTTGTAGTCCAGTATCTGCACTGTGCTAGTCTTCAATCTCCCCGCAGGCTCCTTCGTAACAGCCACCAAGACAGCAGGATCAGGCTTCCGTAGAATGTAGCACTCTTCCCTCCGCCATTCAAACTCATGACTTGCTCGACCATCAGCGAAATGCGTGCTGCGGACATGTGTTTTCGAGTACTCACTCTTCCCACTTGAACCCCCACTTGAATGTCAGGGTTCCGGTATATTTCAGCTCGACGACAACACTGGGGTTATGTAGTTGAAGAGTCTTGTGCTTGCTCGTTGCGAGCGGTGCAGTAGCCGTGACCAGAAGGGAGTCTGTGGTAGGATCTGATCGAGAATCATCAGGACACATTCTGGTCTGCAGTTCTCTGAATCAAAGCAGCTCACAACTTACCATACACGTTGACTATATACGTGGTGCTGTCTGGAACTCGGTGTCTTCGATAGTGAATGGTGCCCGCAGGGTCCACGAGGTCGATGACATTCGGGTCCTCCGTACTCGGTGTGATATTTAGCGTGAACAGATTCTGATCCAAGCTCATGGCCCTGCGCTATTCTTCAGACCCAAGAATAATCAAATACGGAAGTTAGGCAGAGGAGTTCGAAAGAGGTTTGTAGCGAGGAAGGCGGACAGCAGGTGAACATGTTGTGTGACATTGAGGTCAACGACTAAAATAGGCGATCTGCAATCCTGTGCAGCCTGGCTGCGCAGTGGACAGCGAGCATCAGCGCGCCATTTCCTCATTCTGCTTTCTTCTCTCATTCGGGATATGCACACCGTCGGACTGCAGTATTACAGGGTAAAAATGTGCTGTACATATGGAATAGAGTGATGCAAAGACTGTATCGAATAGGTTGTGTTATGAATGGGTCAGCTAGCAGTACATTTAATTCCGATTCGCCCTCACCGGGACACCCGCTACTCAATGTCAAAGTCTTCCATATCCCCCAATCCCCCCGTGCCAAGTTGTACAACCTGCACGCTCTGTTCCTGCTCCCCGTCGCCATCAAACTCTGTCATCTCGACGTCCTCCTGGTGCTCCTGCGCACCCGCTGCTTCTAGCGTGTCCAAGAAGTTCAGGCAGCCCCTCCTACAACCACGCCAACGCACAGGCACCCCACGTCCCTGGCATTCTGCGCTGACGTCGTGCCCCGCGACGGAGCGCTCCCATGTGGTCCGTTCCTCAGCGGGATGCACGAAGATGGGCGTCCGCTCATTGACCCAGGCGCCGTCTTCCGTACGATGGTCGGATGAAGGGCATACAAAGATCCCTGGAGAAATGTCGCTGTCGCACCCTTCGTCTGAGACGTTGGCGGGATAGCCTACGGGATGGCTGGCATTTCTTCGAGTATGCACGTCATCGTCAAAATAGCTTTTCGATATTTTCCTCGAGGCCGGCTTCGCTACTGCGTTGGGAAGGCACGAGCGGAGCGTCTCGATGACAAAGCGCGGCTTGTCGCTTTCGGCAAGAGGGAGCGCGTACTTTGCCTCCAGTACCGTTTTTCCCGAGCAGTCCGTCTCACGAGCGATTTCAGCATATTCACTGGCCGGCGAGAGTAGATAGCGAAAGCATAGTTCGGAGAGGGGAAGGATGGTGAAGTGCACGAGAGGATGCGAAGGTTTGGATTTCTTCTCTTCTACTGAGGATGCACTATTCCCTGCATCCGACACTTGCTCCTGGTTCTGTCCTGTGGCATCATCAAATGCATCAACAGGAATCATCCATGGATTCCCGGAGATCCTGAAATCCTCGATCTTCATACTAAGCAACTCCGCGGGCAGCCACGAGAGCTTGTTGAACGTGATGTCGAGTTCGCGGAGACCATGCAGCTGGGCGATTTGTGGTGGCAGGACGGAGATCATGTTGCTGCCTGCGGGATGAAGTCACTGTCAGTGAAATGTGTAGGTGATTATATGCGGGTCTAAAACAGGTATTGGATGTAATGGGCGTGCAGCACACTTTGACGATGTTGTTTGCTCCTCGCACCCATCGCTTGCCACGCATATAACGTTTAGACCCGAATGCGAGCAGTACTATCCTTGATTGCGCTGACCATCCTGGATAGGACTTCAATTCACTCAAAGTAACATGTTTACTCCACCGAAGCGACTCAAAGTGCCCAGCCATATGTCAAGGAAGGAACAACATGCTCGAGACACTCACGAAGAATCAAAATGGTCAGCCGAGGGAGGTGGAACAGCTCCACCGGCAATGTGCGAATAGCATTATTGCTGAGGTAGAGATGGATCTCCTTCTGACGCGATGTTAATGACGACATCGTGGGTTTCACCCAAGTTGTACTCCCCGACTTCATCAGTACGCGGCGACCACCATCTTCGGTCAAGAATGGTAGATTCGGCGTCATTGACACTGGAAAGGTGACAGAACGTGTGAAAGGCCGCTTATGGGGGACAAGACCGTTCGCAATGCTCCGCTGGGCGAAAGAAACCGTGCCAGGAGGATAGACGTCGGGGATCGTGTTCCCGAGATCGCTGATGGATGGCGGGATGTAGGTGACGGGTGTCTGTAGCAACGAACGATCACTATGTTACAAGAGGCGTCAGGAACTTGCAAAAGATAGCTTTACAGAGAAAGAGTCTCTAGACATTACAGAGTGCATAGTCAGGCAATCAAGGGCATGAGAAGACGTACTTCATGTGCACTTCAATGTCGCCGCCTTCGGCTGCAACGTCCCATGCCTTCGTAATTGCCTCATCCCACATGAGCTGCCCGCGATCCTCATCGGTGGTGAAACTCCAACGATTCGGACGATTATTGTGCGTATCCTCCTGGTCGGTCATACTAAGCGTGTCGGTGTCTTCGCCATTGTCAGAGACGGGCTTCAAGGAGAAGTTGCTCCCAGTAGCGCGTTCTAGCATGAACTCGCTTGCGTCCGAATATGCACTCCCGCAAGAATGCACGCGAGCCAGCTTCCTCTCGCTGCGGGGAGGATGCCATGCACCCTTGGCAGATGCCGCGAACAGATCCCCAAATTGTGGCATGCGAGACGTTTCAGTAACTTCCCGTTCATTCACGACGTATGTATAGCCTCGTGGAGGGAATGAACTCGGCCCTTCGCCCAAGTCCATATGGTCGTGTGCCTTGATGCTCGTCGCTTGTTGGCTATGATCCTCATCCCAGCGCGAGCGCTTCTCATAAATCTTTGGAGGCCTGTCCGCCTTGGTAGATGCTGCGAAAGGGTGAGCGAGGCCAGGAGACGAGGGCGCAGAACCCAGCGGAACGATGTTGGGAGACGAAGGAGGCGAAGAATCGATCGTCAGAACGCTGGGAGAGGACGGGGAGGATGAACGAGAGGATCCAGGGAGTGTCGGGTCGTCGAGGTCCATGTATTCTGTGGGGTCGTGAGTCACCATGGTGGGAGGGGGAGAAAAAGATGCGTGGATACCTGTGAGTCCGGAGGTATCGACGCGAAGTCGCAGCTGATCTCGCGCTCACATGACCGCGTGTCTCGGCCGAATCATGTGAGCAACACGCGCCTAGAGCCGAGACGCGTCTGTGGCGTCGAACTTCAACACTTCCCATTGTGTACCTGCTTGCAACTCTCCATCGGTGGCGTTGAAATTTTTGCTCGAAATGAGGCTGCCCATCTTGAAATCTCTGAGTTGCACTCTCCTTTCTCTCCAAGCAGGCCGTGTACTTGCTTCGTTGGATACGAGGATCTCTGGTTCAAACAGTCTAGCTCATGCTGTCCGGGAAGTCTCGCAATGTCAACCCTTCAAGAGCAGCTTCTTACCTCAGGATATCTCACAATCACTTGATACTCAATTTGTTGCAATCAGTCCTTCTGGCTCATACAGTACAGGTGACAATGGCTTGGAGCTCTTTCTGGACAAGCCGCGGGGAACAATCACGACCAAGAACGGCGTAAACAGCATGGTCGGTGATGGGGCCACTGTGAACTCTACCTTTACTCTCCTGTAGGCAACTTGATGGCCTGTCGAAATATACAAATTTAATGAGTCGTGTAATGTTCCGATCGTAGACATGGCAAAGTAACCTTCACTTTCTCTGGGCCTGTCGTACCTGGCGTCGTGACTGCAGCAATCTTGATCTGTGCGTGTATTATCCTGATATTGATCATGCAACACTGACACTCATATTACACAGCTGATCAGCACGACGAAATTGACGTTGAGCTGCTCGGTGGTGACCCATCGCACTGGCAAACCAACGTCTACGCTTCGAGTCCTGAAGATGAACAGCCACTCTGGGGAGTCTTCGGCGAGATAGAATACTATACACATGGTGGCACTGTGGAAGATACTCACGCGTATACCATCGACTGGAATGACGAACGCATTGTGTGGAGCGTGGACGGCACTGCAGTGCGCACGATCAAGAAAGGTGAGTGTCACACCATTTTGTCAGCATATTGTTGGCAGTGCATGTTCTCGAAATCAGATCAAACCGAGAAGCATGGTGCCCTGCACTTTCCTTCACACGCAATGCGTCTGCAACTAGGAATCTGGGATGCAAGCTCTCCGGCAGGTACTGCTCAGTGGGCCAAAGGTCCGATAGACTGGTCTTCTGCGCCTTCAAGGATGACGGCCACTTTCAAGAGCGTGGAAGTGGAATGCCCATACTGAGGCTTCTATGCGAGCATTCAGCGCACTTTTCGTCCATTCTGGCTCTAACAAACCTTACTTGCGATGTTATGTCTCGTTCTTGTTCATTCCTCCTTTTCTCTAGCTTGGGAACATGACTTGTATTCTATTCTGCAAGATTTCATCCGACACGTTCCCTAGACAGGACAAGCCATCGACAAATCCTGTCATCAATTTAGAGAGCTTCATAATCTACTCAAGTAGAAATACACACTCAGTCTTGTTCTCTATCTGTCCAATATTGATTTCTCTCGCTGCGTACATCTCACGTCTGCATCCGGATTCTCCGAAACCGTTCATCCCTCTCCAGTACTACGAGAAATATGTCAAGTCCTCTCTCACTGTGTACATCTCGTCTATGGAATCGTGGATTGTCAGGATTCGGATTCTCCGTACGCGACTTTCTACAATGCTATGGCAACTATCAACAAGTGTAACATAATCTACAAGTACTACAACAAATTCCCAAAGGGCTGTTTGCTCACAGCCCAACAATGATGTCCGCATCCCGCAGCACACAGATGGCCATACAGCGCGCGTCGTGTAGGCACCTGCCCCTCCGTATCTGTCACCTCGCCGCCACTGGTCGTGCTGCCGCCGGCATGCAACGGTATACTTTCATCCGACTCACTGTCTCCTGTAATAGAATCGGCACGAGACATTGCACGTCCTCTAACCCCATGCGGGACCGCGGGTTCCAGCTCTGGGGTCGTGGTGCGACGTGGAAGCTGTGATTCCCGTTCCCGCACTGGTGGCGCTTTCAGCTCCTCCATCGGTCGATGGAGGTAGTAGTTGCGATAGCACTCTTCGTGGCCTCCGTGCATGCATACCGGGCACTTGAACATGAGTGCCCGAACAGGAAGATGACTGCGAATGTTTCCGGAACGCCTCAAAACGAGTTGGAATCGGAGCGACGTGAGAACGTACCATATAGAGCATGTCGTAATGTTTATTTTGCAGGAGGTGCAGTATGCATATCCCCCAGAAGGCTTTCCATAGAGGGTTGTATCAACCGTTGGAGTCAGAATGGGTTTCCGACAACGGCTGCAGCTCGTGTGAACAGTCGTGTGCAGCTGATAAAAAGCTGCGTCAAAAGCCTCTGCGATGAGGATGGTCACTATGCTTACTGCTGTTGTAGCTCGCACATCATCTGCTTGGGCAAACTTCCGCATATATGCCGCAGACGTATGCAAACGCAGACGACTCAATACATCTGCGACCAGTTAGACTCTAAGGCCCAATTCCGTCATATTAGCATTCACTTACCGATATAGCTCTCCACTAACTGCAGCGCGCGGGTTCGGTCTACCTTGAGTTCCTTCGGGGCTACGACGGACAGGTAGGTGCACAGCTGGATTTCTCCCTACCCGCGATGCTTGATATATCAAAAGACTCCGTTGTCATAAACCACGTACCTCTCCTGCCATTGCCTCAAACATCTCCCGGAACGCCTCCCAGCCAAGCTCCCGGAACCTACTCTCCGTCTCCCTCACGACCTGCACAAGCTCCGGGTCCATCTGTTCACCGCTCCCGGACCTGCCAGCCATGTCATTCGACAGAACCGAACCAGCCCGCTGATGGATCGACAACGCCTTGGTCGACTCCGGCCGGTCAAGGAGACTCCGTAAGCTAATATCACCCCTGAAGGAATGATCGCGGCCGCGTTCGAGCCCTGGCGGGTTCCCCGCCGTCACCGTTCGAATGCTGCTATATGAATCCTGCTTTACCAGCGTGTGAGTGGAGGACGGTGCCGCCAGGGATGCGACAGTAGAGCTGCGGCTGCGTGTCTTGTTCCTCTTTGTCGACCGAGATACCTTGCTCCTCAACGACGTAGTCGCATAGTCGCTTGAGTCCGACTCGCTCGTGGACCCGGGAGACGGCGAGTCCGAGTCGTCCCTCTCGTCCTCTGTCCAGGTGGTCTGTCCGACGACCTGCGACAACGGGCTCGGAGTAACGATGTTCGTACGTGATAAGGAGTTGGATGAGGTCATAGAGCGATACGGCTGGCCCTCCCCATCGCTGCCACTCCTTGAGGGATCATCAAAGATGGCGTCCTCGCCGCCGCTGTCCGAGGAGTCCGAGTCGTCAAGCGCGCCCTCCCCAATATGCTTCAAACTTGATAGGCTCCTTGTGCTGGCATTCGGCGAGTCGCTGTGCGCACTGTATATACTTGCAGTCGTGAACGAAGGGCGTCGATAGGAGGACGACAGCCTCCGGCGCGTGGCAGAAGTATATGCCGCATCTGACTCGCGGCGCGACAGCGAGCCCACAGATAACTGGGAAGCGGGAAGCGCGCTGGTGGAATAGTGTGGCGAGGAGGACGTGGACGACGTCGGCGTCCCTTTCTGAGAGGTGCGGCCGAGTTTCTCGTCACTGACCTTACAAGTCGACCCCCAGTTTTGTTCCTCGCTCATGTTGGATGTGTCCACGTCCGAGGAGACAGAGCGCTGCGGAGTCGGAACGGCGCTCTGGAGGGTCTGTATGGTCGGGATGGAAGCAGGAGCAGATGCAGAGTGGAGAAGACCGTGAGCGAGCGGAAGTACCATATTCTGCGGTCGTGCTAGTCGCTTCTCCTGCACCAGATCAGTCAATAGGCTACCGAGCATTAGCCACGTCTGCGCCGCTTCTACATTCCCGGCTTCCGCAGACACCTACAGCGATGGACGTGAGACGCGGGAAATACATTACACGGCACTCTTACCTGAGCGTTGCGCTTACATATCTCTTTCCGATCGCCGCCTTCGTAGATCCATCCTTGGGCCAGTCGCACGAACACCTCGAGATCCCCAATGCTGTCTTCGGATGCGATCGCGCCCATATTCTGTGTGACAGGAACGTAGGGAGGGTCGCCCAAGCTTTTCACGTTCCCTTGCAGATCCATGATGCTTTGCCTCTTCTCGGGTTTACTACCGAGCGATGAGCGGCCCCGCACATAAAATACAGTAGGTGTCTTACATGTCGTCGTATGGGATCTCCCATCTGCTCGGCCGGTCCGTCACAAAGGCCAGAGAACCCGCTGCAGTCCAGGACATCGCTGTTCGTGGTATGGCATCGAGCGGCCTGGTCGCTTGCCGCAGATCCAGCTGGGCGAAAGCACCGGACGAGTACTGTGCCCATATTGCGTGGGAGTCTCCGAACACGACATCTGCGCCAACTTACATCAATGTCTTCGTGATACCTAGGAAGGGATGCACGCACCAGTGACTCCGCCCTCCATCGCCGACCTTTCAATAGCCCACTTGGCAATATACCCGCGCCGCACATCCCACAGCTCAATCGGGTCATTTCGCCCGCTCTGGCTCATCGTCTGCGGCCCACTCTCAGTTTGCGACTCCGTCAACACCTCCGCCATCTTTAAGGTCGCAGTGTTGATCCGTGGGCTGGACGATACGCTCAGCAAACCCGATGAAGCGCCGGGAATGGCGGACCCGCCCGCGCTAGCGCCGCCGACGTAGTGTAGATCTGCGCTGCTGCTCCCCGCGGAGTCGATGTTGTTCGACACGATTGCGAGCTCGCATTCGTAGCCTGGCCGCCATAGCACGCGGCGCACGGGATATGCGGTGCGCAGGGTGTACGTTGGGTCATGTGAGATGCCGCTCTTATTCGCCGAGATGTTCCACACCTATAAAGGCATTTATTGCGATAAGTAGCGGCCACAGGAGCGTAGAACGGCTTACCTTCACGCAACGGTCTAACCCGCCGCTGGCAAGCCACCCAAGACTCGTACCTTCAGCATCCCCATTGCCTCCGTTGCCCGAGCCGGGAAGTATGTCGTCTAACAGGGTACCAGAGCCGCCATACCAGCTGCTGGGTGCGCTGGGGCGAGGGGTGCTTGTGCCGGACAATGCCCCTGAGGATGCCCAGTCCAGCGCGAGGATGGGACCCGAGTGCGCTGCAGCTATTCGATCGAGATTGCCCCGTTGTCCGACTTTCAAGTCCCATCTACGAAGCGAGTTTAGGGCTTGTGAAATTCTTTCTGTGATTCGCACAACTGACCTGTACATGCTGCCATTCTCGAGGGCAGTTATCGCATGCAGGGGCTGCCAGGAGACCGGAGAGAATGCCACCGCTCGGATTGGCGCAGGATGGCGAATGTACATAATTGATTTCGTGAGGTCTCGTAGGTCCTGAACAGCATCCGGAATTATTTCGCGAGCAAGTAATAGTTATGTTAATAAGTTGAATTGTCGACGGATGTCGACGACGAACCCATATTCGAAGTTCACCGTCGGCGGAACCAGAGATGCAATAATTCTGCACGATTGTTGAGTATGCAAGCGCATGTATGGAGCGCGAGTGTTGCCTTGTTCTCCGATCTGCAAAGAGAAGCATACTTAGCACAAGGCACAAATAGAACATAGGACATCCGACGTTTCCATTTGACCTTAGTCGGAAGACAATGCTGCATTTTAGGGAGACATACTCACCAACCTTCGATGGCCCCGACTTCATGAGATCCCACATTATGAGTTCTCCATTTCGTGCACTGGTTAAAATCTTCCTGTCGTACGCTTGCGACGTGAAGTGATGCAATTCCAGGTTTTACTATGTACATCACGCATTAGATAGGGAACACACGTACAGCCATGGCACCAAACCACATCCGTGCTTGCGCTGTCCACGTGCAGACCGCTACCATCCCACAGATTGCGGCCAATATCAATCCGGTACTCTCCTTTGCCTACAGCTGACCTGTACTCTGTTGTGGGCGAGGACTCGCTAGACCGGGAAATCCGCAATATCCTGAGAGCTAGTTTATGGCATGCGTTAAGGTATCGCGCGTGAAGAGAGTGGGATGGACGCACATTCCTTCCCAGCGATGACGCACCTCGTTCCGTCCTCGTTCTTCGCGATCGCGCCCCCACCGCTTGAGGCCGCACGCGAGGTGCGGACGTAACGGATGGGTCCTTCATAACCGTGCGTCCGAGAGTCCGAGTACATATCAGGAAGAATGCCGAACACCGTGAATCGAGAGTCACGGCTAAGGATGGATGGACGATGCGACACGACCGGCGTTGGCGGCTGCATAACCTCGACCTGCAATATGTTGTGCACTCTGTCTCGCTCTTTAGTCAGGCTTCCAGCATCCGGCTTGGGCTCAGATATGCTGCGAACTCAGAGAACTGCAGAGGCTCATCGCAGAATCTGCAGACCACATGAGCCTGAAGGGCACCAGTAAGCTGGAGATGACGTGCTCACGTTTCGTTTACACAATGACAGCTCACTTCAATTGATTGCACTGCACAGATGCCAGCCCTATGACAATAAAATCTCGAGATTGTATGGATAACGTTGTTGCGCAAGGGGGCAACTTGACAGAGAGAGGGAGCGCCACCGCCACAACGTCGGAGTAAGAATCCTGCGAAAATCTATCCGCCGTTCTGTTCAACGGGGCGCCCATCTTTACTGGGCTGTGGTCTCGAGATAAAAGGCGTCTGACATTCCGCCCTCCCTTCCTCACCTCCCCAAACAACAACCGCTCTATCTACTTGCACACTAGCTCTTACCAGTACAATGGATCAACCCAAAAAGTAAGCCCTCAGCTTCAGTTTGATCTGTCTTCGTTACTGACCGTTCCTTCCCAGTGTCTGACTTGACCATCGAAGGCGTCCCCCTGGCTTTCCTGCAGCTTTGCCAGTCCAGTTTTGAGAATGCGAAGATTGAGGTTCGCCCCTCTCCCTAAGCTCTACCCTCGTTTCGCCAACCGCGTTTGAGTCCAACAAGCCCAAGGACAAGGTCGACCAGACCCGCCTCACCAAAAACTATCCCGACGCCTACACCGACACCCACGGCCTGCTCAGCGGCCAGCCCTTCATCGTCAAGACCGGCCCTGCCTGGCCCAAGCGCCAGGACGGTCCCAATGCCCAACCCTTCCGTCGCGAGTTACGCCCCGTCAACGGCCATCCGATCGCGTCCTCCTGGGACGGCATCCTCACCGACATCGAAGTGTACCTCAAGGAAGCTAGGCTGGCGTTCACCGCTGTCATGCCACTTGGCTTCGCCAACGTCGGATCGAAGAAGCCCTTCTGCCCGCTGGTGGTGGCCATCGGTGTGGAGCCCGAGACCGTGGCCTTCGAGGACGCGAAGGCCGTCGCCGCGTCCGTCAAGATCAACATCCTCGCCAACGCCGGCTTCGACGACATCGACGTAGCTGTGTGGGAATTCACGACGTCCCTCTCCGGTGCTGGAGCCAAGCTCCCGTCCCTCGACCCCGAGCTCGACGGGCCCGTCACCGAGTTCCGGCACCCGTTCGCATCCACCCTCGGCATCGCCGTAGCGCCCCTCAAGCAGCCCGGGTACGAGGGCTCTCTCGGCATGTTTCTCACCCCCGGCGACGGCGACGAACTCCTGGCTCTGACTGCTGCCCATGTCGCGCGCCCCCTCTCGATCTTCCCCGACAATAAGGGTTTGTCGGTAAAGGCGGCCGACAGGCACCACGAAGAGATCATCGCGCTCGGGTACGAGGCGTACCAGCTCGGAATCAAGCGGATCCAGACCGAGGTCGGAAACCTCCAGCAGGGCATCAAGGCGGAGGAGCTGAGGGCCCAGGGGCTGCAGGGTCGGCTGGATGGTGGTGCGGTAGATACGAACGAGAGGATCGCCCCTGGGATCAGGGCCGCCGGGCAGAACGTGGAGATTGCGAAGGAGACCATTAAGCAGCTGAACCTTCTCCACAGCCACGTCACCCAGTATATGCCTATCCGCGACAACCGCTGCATCGGACACGTCTTGTATGCCGACCCCATCGGCGCCTCCTCCGATGGGCCCGACGGGTACACCAGGGACTGGGCTGTCGTTAAGATCGGAAAGGACGCATTCGCCGACGATTTCCAGGGCAATACGATTTATATCGGTACGTCTCCTATCTCGCTAATAACTACCATGTTGTTTACTTATACTTTATCACACAGGCGACAAGTTCAAGGAGCAAACTTTCCTGGACATCATGTTTCCCAACGTCGCCGACCGCGAAGGCTACGGATACCCGGAGCATGGCCTGCTCCGCCTCCGCGGCGTCGTTCCCTTGGACGAGATTCTCAACCCCAAGCAGCTCGACGCCAACGGCGACCCCGCCATGGCGGTGGTCAAGAACGGGAGGACTACAGGAACGACTGCGGGTTGCATGAGCGGCTTGAAGTCCCTCGTTCGTTATTACAAGTTCATCGATATCGAGTTCACATCTCGCGAGCTCACCGTCGTCCCCTACGACGGCGCGCGTGGCGCCTTCTCGGATGCAGGCGACTCGGGCTCGATCATCGCCGAGCGGGGTGGCCGCATCGTCGCCCTGCTGACCGGCGGCGGCGGCATCACCAACGCTACCGATGTCACCTTCTGCACCCCCTACTGTGAGCTCGAGAAGCGCATCAAGGAGGTTTTACCCGGCGTCCGCCTCCTCGATTAGGTTCGTGCATTTCTCTTCCTCTTGTTCGCACATACCCATTGATCGCCCGTCTCTCCCGGATATACAGGCTGGTCTCCGGTCGCGAGCTCGCACTCGGCGCGCAACGGGCTCCCCGACGAACCCGCATATACCCCTCTCACCTCGTTTTCTCCTTTCGTCTCGCCTCGTCTTCTCTTCCTCGCCCCGTCTTCCTCGCCTCGTCTTATGTTTCTCGGCTCGTCTTCTCTTTCCCGGCTGGTCTTTACATTCACGCTCGTTGTTTCCCCTTTCCGTTTTCCTTTCCGTCCCTCTCGTTATTTACTCGAGAAGCGCCGACTGTCGCCGGCAGCAGACCTTGCGACTGAATACCGGAAGTGGTTGGAATCGGACACGGATTACATTGGTTTTTGGAAAGTTCAATGACTTTTGACGAACACACCGGAGCATGATTCCCGCCTGCAGTTGGGGGAATATGTGAAGTCGCGCTTGGAGGCTACCTACGTACGCGCATTCAAAGTGATTGCCTGCCCATGACCCATGAGGGTTCCTTTTTTCCCATTTGAAATACCTGGGGTTCACCAAGTCTTAAACAAATGGTTCTTACAACATTATTTATAGGATATACAAAGCACGAGAAGTAGTCGGCCTCCATCAATGCTTATCCGTGGACACCACCATTGATGTATGATCCAGCCTCAGGGAGATACATGATCAATTTTTACTGCCACGGCGACCTGGAGCTTATAGTCTACGTACTTGCTAGCCAGATAGAGCATGAGACCTCCCATATCATTTATGCCCGAACCCGTTGCAACGGTATAGTCGACTTGATCCTCGATGATTCAACTGTGCAGTACACACACCTGAGGGGAATAAGATCGAGCAAACAATATTGTTCAGGATCTGCCCGTCCTTGAAGTAGTGCACCATCGTCTTACCCAGGTGCATCATGCTTACCTTGCTAAGCCCATAAGAGAAGGTGAATCCTTCCACGATGATGCCAGACTCGAGATTGCGATGACCTGACTTGTGATCACACTCTAGTAGACGCGTGGACTTCGATAACCGACAGTGCTTGATATGACGGCCAGAATGATATTCGATACTAGCTCGTCATTGGCGAAAGAACAGGACGCTCGGCGATGAGCGAGACTAGAACCACGTCGAGTTAATGGAATGCGAGTGACCTGTAAGACGAACAAGTCCTTCTGACCTAGAATACCTGACTAGCCCAACTGGGGCGCCAACAGCGTCTCGCAGCTATGGCTGGTGGTTTAGAGAGCACCACGGTCAGAATGTCTTTAAAAATGAAATTATGTGTCTATCAAGCAATGGGCCACAACACAAGCGGGCTCCTTTAAGTCTTGATAGACGTGGTGGAGGAAGATGCATGATGTACAGAGGGGGGGGTTATGAAATGTTGGAGTTCCCAAATTAAAGGGATCTCGTACTACTCTTGGATTCCGCCGTTTGCAGTGTCCATGCTTGCACCTCGTCCAAAGGAAGTTGGCTCCATCGAGCCTCAATCTGTCAATGAAAGTTATTATATAGAAGTCGAATCGACTCAAACGGCGGAGGTGTTTACCTCGTCCAACATATCCAACAACGCGGAGGTCTCCGCGTCAACCTGTTCTCGTGCCTCGACATTACGCTGCATGTCACCCTGAAGCCGTAAATTCTCCTTGTCCAACTTAGCATGTTTGCTATGTCAGCAAGCTCGTTCGTTGAACATCTCACCATGCAACGCACCTCCTCGAGCTCCGCGCGCAATCTATCCCTCTCTTTCTCCAACAGCGGGATCGTCCGTGCTCGAACAGCCGCACCTGGATGCAAATTCTCTCTCCAAACATCTGGCCCATTGTATCCACCACTGTGCTTCCGCACTCGAGCTTCTGTGACCACAGCATGGAGATTATCTATGTTCTCCCGAACATTGTACTTCTTCAACAACTCTTCGCACTTCTCCTGCCAGAGACACAGTCAGCGTAACGAGCCAAGATGTATATGGAGAGTTCAGACAGTGATTGAATCATCCATGTGCTTCGAGATAGTCGCGAAAATCCGAGGGGCGTTCTCTGGCTGCTCCTCGCACCAAAGCGGAAAGCATTCTGTGAAGTCGGCGTAGCTGATTGCTATCAGCGACTAAACATCATAACGGAGAAGGCTGTACTCACGTCCATTTGTGTGCAGATCGCTGGATAGCAAGCTGCAGAGCCGAGTGGAAATGAGCCCAACGCTTGCTCGGTTGCTGGGAGGACGATGCGTTCGACTCGGTCATGGTCAAGTGGCGTGGTAATCCTCGACGCGATTGTGGCGGAGGTCGCGGGTATCGTTAGGCGCCTACACTGCTCTTGTTCTCGCGTGCACGGCTAACCTCAAACGCTGACCCTGGGGTCCCATCTCAATATGCCCAACAACGTTGACGCATCCACTCAAATGCAAAAACCTCACGGTCGCCAGAATCCTGCATCTGTGCTGTGGGGTCATCTTCTCTCGAAGGACAGCATCACTCCTGCGCTCGCTCGAAATAGTGCTTCATCTTACAATCCCTCAATTCCTCCCATCGCACCGGCAGACAAGACAGGAACTTCATTGCGAATACTTCTTCATGACTCGCAAGCCAACTTGGAAAAGTTCTCTGAGCGGGTGACCCAGTTGACCGGGGGAGTAGAATCGACCAGGAGACAGATCTCGACCGTCCATGAATTGTTTCAACGTGATCGTGAAAAGCTACTCGAGGATGTCGTGAACGTAGGTATGTTGTGACATGCATATATGCGCCTGTACTCCCTGCTTGCGTATCATTGGAGAAGAGTATGGGTTCACTCGGTCTGGTATGCTGCAGCTAACAGGTGCCAAAGCGAAGTCCAACGATCACTGGGAACTCCAGCACAAGCGCAAGAACTTGGACGTGTCGGCGAAGCGGTCGCTGCGTTGGACCGCAGAGTTGAAGCGATCGACAAAAAGATGGATCTTTTACATATGGTTTGATGATCCCAGATAAGACGCTTCGCACAGCATATACTAATAATACATGGTTATGCAGATCAATCAGACCCAATTACAAGCTCTTCAGACACTGCAAGAGCAACAGGCTAGTCTACTTTCGTCTCTTACGCCTATGCTCCCCCTCCTTCAAGCCATACCTCTCCACATAGAAAATACGAGGAACCAGATTCAGCAAGACCTACGTGACACGCTGCTGCCAGTTCGGACATTCTTTTCACATTTTGCTTCCAATATGAATCAACCTTCTCTCAATCCCTCACCCGAAATGCAAGTTGCTCACCAACAGCGTAAGAAACGCAAGCTAGATCGCGATACCGACGTTGGATCCAAATCGCACCTGGGCGGCACTCGTCAGTCTGAGGTTTCACCCAACACGACGAGAGACTACGATACAGCCATGACAGCGAAGCCCAGCAGTTCTCGCAGAATACCACTGATCGATCTCTCACTGCCGAATCATGTCGCCCCTGGTATCGGAATTCCAGTTTCCAACACCGCTAGGAAGCCCACAACCCACCTCCCGTCTTCTGACAGCCCATATAAAACTCCAGTCCGTCCTGTTCACGTTCCTAGGTACGCAAAGAACACCGACGTGTCCGGCAAAGGGACCCCGGGCGCACTTCGCGGCGCCATTTTTCCTGCGGTCCAGGGGACTCCCAGGAATGACGACTCCCTTACGTCAACGAGCACGCTCTCACAACGGACATCCATGCAGCAGATTTCTGTACAACCTCCAGAGGTCCCTCCGCCGGCTACCCTGAATGGAAGCAGCCCTTCAACCGGCATCTCTTCTGTAAGCAATGCTGCTCGAGACTCACCTTCAGCTATGAGCCGGTCATCTATACTGGCCGGGCCGCAGAATTTTCCGCATACAACCGCCGACAAACAGAGGCAAAGGACTCGCGTGCCACTGCAAGACGTCACAACAGCCAGGCGATCAACACCCATGCGGCTGCAGTCCATGCAACCTCCATCTTCCATCACCGATCCTACAGCGACGGCCAAAGCGATGAGTATCAGAGAAAGGCGGGCATTACTTGCCACGCCATCAACAGTAAGCGAGTCGTTCCTTTAAGGACGGTCAGAGTTTACTGAGTGGACCTGTCCAGCGTCATGAATCGAAACGTTTCATTCCTCTGGATGATGACGATGACGGGGAACTACTCCTGGGATAAAAGGGAACTTGACAGTTTGCGTGGCTTGCTTTATCTTGCTGGGATAATGGCTTACTCTTACGGCACCTTGAACTGCCTGTACTCCTCTATCAATCTGATCGAATGCGGTCAACGCTCCAATCGCTGCCTGAGAATAAGTCTACCAGGCTACAGCGGGCTGTCTGATATGTCGGTTTCCAAACGTCACGACAGACGTATGCTTTCGCAATTGTCGTGTGAAATCATTCCGAGAACGAAACCCCATTTGCACTGATCATCGACATTATATTTGAAGAAACATACAAGCGAGCCATTTGTAGTATGAAACTACTTCAGCGGCCTCTTTCCCAAACATGGTAACGTGGGGGATAAGGAGGAAGTTGCCTGCCATCACGATGAGGACCGTCACAGTTCCTCGTCATGTGTGGCTCCCCGTCTAAATTCTCTAACCCATCAGAAAGCGTCCATGAGATATGGTTGGCTTGGCTGAGACCGGTGTGGTTCCAGAAACGTAAGCAATGCGGGAAGCTTCCGGGACATTCGTTCCTGGATCACCGTCTCGTCGGCGTCGTCGCAGGTGTCGACGTTCCAGAGGTTCGGTGCTCGTGGCTTGAGGCTAGATCGGAGCAGATCCGCGAGAGATAGAATGTAGTAGTTCTTCAGGAGTCTGCAGCGTAGGTTCGAAATGCTCGTGGACATTGGTAAACTTGCGCATGTACCTGTGTGTCTGTGACTTCCGAATTGATGTGGTCTGAATCCCCAATCCTTACCTACATCTAACGGGGCTGCGTCAATAATCTCAAAGCCAGATAGATTCAATCTTCAACGCTCGTCGCTGAGAAACTCACAGAGGTACTAATCTAAGGAATGAATCGATGTGCAGTGAGAGAAGAGAAGGAGCAGCGTACGCAATAGCTTTAGTAACGGGCATCCCGATGGGAGAAGTAATGGGTCCTTTGCACGGGGTTTGACCTGTTCGATGGATACAAAATATTGACACCGTTCTCTTGCCTCAAACCTGACGCGATGCTACAGATATCGTCAATGAGATAGTATAAGAGTGATACAGCAAACGGACTCGATATGCGCGCCTGCCCGAGCACATTGATCAGTGAACGGCACGCGAGGCGTAGCCGGTCCTGGTGCGCCACGGGCGCAAGAGAGGGGCAGTTCTGGGGCGTGTGCGGCGCGCGATAGGTTGCTAATATCGAGCTCGAGGAGATCGGCGATGCCGTGAGAAGCTACGAAGCAAGGTCAGAAGAAACAAACAGGTAGCAAGTACTAGTGATGGAGGCGAGAGGGTTTGTTTGTGATGAGGAATGGTAGGTCACTACGGTGTTATGGTTGCCAGCTAAGAGGATGAAGTCTATTTTCCAACTCTCCAGTCGCAAGTCGCATGATTTCGTGCCCTCAGCATCAGTACGACTGCTGGAACTGAAAGTCCCGCCGTCCTCGACCGCTCATACACGTGGCGTGCCCTCGCGCTCATCGACATCGTCCGCGCCGTAGAGCGCAGTGACGGAGGCCATGATGCGTGTCTGATTTTGCACTGAGCAAACTTTCGGGAGTAATGCAGCATTAGCACAATTTCTTGGAGAATAGTATGAGTTTACCCAAGGCATGTCATGGATCTTGAACCGCAACCACCATCTCCTTCCGCTAGCGCCGGGGGTTCGTCCTCCTCGTCAACGGAACTCGTGCACTCAACCTTTGTCCCCACACTTACACTAGCTGTCCGACAGGCCTTACGGCCATGGCAGACTCAGGGACCCTCTGAGCTGCTCAATGACATCGACTCTCTGGTCGATGCCGCACATGCGATTCACCTTGCAGTGTCTCGCGTCATCAGCCGTGCCGAGCTGTTAAACCGACGCAACCCTGACCTGGACAACCTCCATAAGCAGCGCCTTAGGACTGCCAGGGACAAATTCTTCCCCGTCCCCAACTCCGACTCCACCCCTCAACCACAACCTGCCCCTGTCCTGTCCCCCCCTCCGACCACTGGACCCGACCTCACCACGGCCCTCCAGGACCTTCGCTCCGCCCTCGACGCCAGGCTCGAT